CTGTTATTTAAAACAAGCCTCAAGTCTTCAAAAAAATCTGATGTGTCTTTTGGAAAAGCCAATGCATAAGTATTCCACAAAATATTTTTTAAATACCTAGTTGTTTTTTTTAACTTTTAATATAAGATGCTAAGTTTATTTTCATGTTTTTTTTCTCATTGTGTCTTAATGTGTCTTGAGCTGCACCCAGAATGCAGGCAGAGCACTGACAGGAGATATAATGTAGAGCCATTAATAAAGAAATAAATATAAAAACTTTCAGAGAGTTAAGATGGAAAGCTGAACAACATAAGGGGTACACAAGAAAGGTCAGGGACCAAGATAACCCAGAACAGAAGAATCCATCAGAGAGAGAATGAAAGTTAAGAGCCTGAGACATTGTTGGGCTGACATGAGACAAATAGCTGATTGACAGGGTGCAGCTGTGAGAGGAGACCAGACATGAAGGCTGAGGGAAGGAGACTAATGAACATGGAGCAAAGGGAAACACAGATAGAAGGAAAAGCAAAGATAAACTAAACTGAAGACAACAGAATTAACTAAGGAGAAAGAACTAAACAAAAGGGAATAACCAAAACATACAAATGTCATACAAACCCAAAATTATGACACCACTGCATTTATTTCCGATGCATTCTAATAAGCGTAATTTATTTTTATGTTCAGAATGTTTTATGCTTTATGAGAAAAATTTGGCTTGGTTTAGTTAATCCTGCACAGAGTTGCATTCAGCTGAGACATATGTGAGCAACACGGCACTAACAGCAACTGTGGCAAAACACAATGAGACCCACCTACATAAAAGATTTGTGACTACTATTAGCACTAAGTCAGTCCTTCTATGTGGACAAGACATACATGAACACACTTGGCTGTCATTTGATCCATGAAGCAGAAGACCTATCAATCCTCAGCTCCTTCTGCTGAAGCCAAACTACAGCAGATGTGAAGGGACACCTTTCAGTGAATAAAGAGAGACATAAAAGGAATAATGGAAAACCACAGAAAGGGGAGAAAAAAATTAGTGCCTGGTGTAAATAAAAAGAGATTATAGGAAATGTGTGTATATTCAGCATACAAACAGTGAGACTCAGCAAATGGGAAGTAAGACATCGGTTTTCAGTGAATGAATAAGAAATGATCCCACCTTAAGTGTTTGACAATTTTATTCTAAAGCAGTTCTGTCTGCATTCACTAGTTTTTTTGTGTGTTTTTTTGTGATGCCAAGAATATTTTTCACACGTTTTAAAAAGTGCCTATCAAGAGTAATGATAACCACTGAATTTTGGAGGGTATTTAGTCTGGTTATAACCACACAGTGTAATGTGATAGACTCACCATGCATAAATGTGCAAAGCTGGTTACATCTACGGTTGCAGAGAAAGATGGTTCTATGAAAATGCAATCCGTGTTTTTGAAGTTTTAATTTATAAATAATTTTGAAAACTTAATTTCCTTCCATTTCACAATTGTGTGCAACTTTGAAGTGGTTTCCTCACATAAAAGCACACTATGTAAGTCTAGTGAGTCTCTTCCTCTGGCAGAGGACCTCTCCTGGGGGTGGGGTTGGCCTGATTGTAGCATCTACACCTGACTGCAATCAGCCCATCATTTATGGAGGATTTAAGGAGCTGCTACATGATCTTTCTTCATCTGATGCTCAGTTTTTCAGAGGAAATTAAAACAAACATTTCCTTCTCAAAAAGGCAATAGCTATGATTTTAATAGGTAGGCAACTTGGTTGTAGTTTCTCCATAACTTGACCAAAACCTCTTACCATGAAAACTTCTTTACACAGCTTGAAACAAGTGTCACCACAAACACCAGAGAACCATAGAATTCCAATAATTAGACTAAATTTTTGAAGTTTACTTTATAAAGGGAGGATTTTGTAAAATGCATTCTTCTGAGCTTTATATTGTGTTATATTACTCTTTCATCGAAAATATACCTTGAGTGTTGCTTTGATTCTTTTATGCATGTATGAGAAATTCTTGAAATTTCCCTGGGGTGCTTAAATGTTTGTTTCCACAAAGCACCACCTATTTCTACAAAGTTTCTGCTTAGAGCTGCACCAGCCATGCTTCCACTGAGCTCCCCTGAGTTTCTTCCCCACTCATCTTCACCAGACTGGCGACAGCAGCAACTAGCAAACACCTCACATCTGCTGTACTTATTAAAACAAGACACCAATGCTCTGAAGAATGGATGTGAATGGCAAAATGAGAAGAATTATTGTGATGACGGACTGAAGGCGGAGTGTCATGAAGAGTATGCACTTCTTAAAATTGATACCAATTTCAAGGTATCAAATTATGAAGTCAAATTGTCTTTTAACTTATGCTTGATATGTGCGGCAACAAGGGAAAGCAACATAGTTTTTTGACTATGGTATCAAATGGCACTATGTTCCTACACCCTCTCTAAAAGAAATTTGATTTCTTTTTTCTTGCATTTCACATTTATGTACTACTCTGGGTTGGTCTCACATAAGATTATAAAGTTCACTAAGGCTTTTTGGTTGTGATTGACAAAATGTAATATGGTAAGTGGTATTCATACTTTTGCGAGGCACTGTAATTAAAGTTTCCGGGAAGCCATGCTTCGTCAAATAGACTAAAAGAGCTTCATCTCACCACCTCGAAGCAGGCAAAGTCCAGGCAAGCTCTTTTGTTTGTGTGAGAGCGTATGCCTGTGGAAGCTTTCACAGCCTTGGAAATCTATTGAAAAAAAGGCAGTCTTAGGGTGTTTTAGTCTTTTATCTACCCACCCCAAGTAGTATCTTTTAATTAGGCTGTCTTCTTTTCAGAGGAGCATGATTGTGAGAATTATGAAAAAAAAAAACTTCATATGAATCATCTACTTTTTAGTGGAAAATCTTCATATGAATCATCTACTTTTTAGTGGAAGTGTGAGCAGTTTCCTGGTTCAGCAGAGGAAGCTCACATGTAATGAGATTTTTCTTAAATCAAAGATGTGGATTAGTGAGCAGCTCCTATGTACCAAAAAGTTATGTACTCATTTTCTTTTAGCCTTTTCACAATTCATTTTAATTTTTCATTGTGAATTACACAATAATCCATACATCGCAATAATTGTGTAATTTACAATTGTTGTGAATCACACAATAATTGCGAATTATTGTGTAATTCACAATTATTCATTGTGAATTACACAATAATCCATACATACCAAGTAGCCCGGCCGTGTCGTCACAGAAAAGCATCATGATTCTGTTAATGGGATGTCAGATAATTACAGCTAATAATTATCATTGTTCACTACGACAACAACAGGTCTGTAGTAAACATACAGACATGTTTTCCATTGACTGATTTTCAATGCATAGTTTAGCCAAGTCTTCATACAGCAAAGTTTCAAGCGTACAAATGTGTTTCATTGATAAAGTACTGTCTGACCATTGATGTCTAAAATATATAATATAATATATATTACTCAGGTGAATTTCTGAGCCGCTTGGGTTAAGAAGCAGCAACTCCACACGGCTTCTGAAGAGTTGCAGCGAATATGGTCTTCTATTTTTAGTGCCTCTTTGATTATGATGTCTGACTGTGTGAGTGCTGCCAGCAAGCACTTTGTCACTCACGGTGCGTACTGAGTGCCATACATTTGCTCTGGATTCACCTGCTGAAGCAGGCAATCTATCCAACTTCTTGTGTCACTCAATCATGAGAATCAGCTGGAGTTCAGCCATCACCACTTACAACTGCTCTGAATATTTAACAACACAATTTGTCACTGTTTTACAGCTGATACAATTTATTGTAGCTAAAGTGTTCCCTAACAGCAACTGTTCCTCACATCAGTCATGTGAGTTCAAGACAATACTCAGTCCAAATGCTGCATAGGCTCTTGAAATCTTCCCTGCAATGTGTTATGTAAGATATTACCTCAAATTTCTGTAGTTTTGTATATGTTCAGCTTCAAGAACCACCACTTTCATTCACGACTGCCAGCACTGCTCAAGGTGCTGTTAGACAGTCAGTGAAGCTCATCCACCCACAGAAACTACAGTCAGCACAGCACTTTCAGTATTACGTGACTGCGCACTAAAAGGATGTGTTAGGTGGATTAAACATGATATATAATTAATTTTAGAAGTTAATCTAAGACACCAGGGACTTTTTGGCATTAACCTCCCCTCGGACAAGTTTTTCTATGGAATAAAAGCAACTTTAAAGGGTAGTTGTAGACAGATTATGTGCATACAAAACAACAAAAAGAAACAATATATATACATTGTGGATAATAAGTGCATGTAGATAATGCATCATCCAAATCCCCTGCATAGTAACTAAAAATCTCACAGCCAGCCCAGATTAAATACATACCAAATTCTCTATGCGATGCATCTAATTATTTACTGTAACATTATTAAATGTGTGCTGCAATATTATAGTGGGAGAAAGGAGGGGCGGGGGGATTTACCTTCTTCAGAGCTGACATCCTGGGCGGATTCTCCTTCTGCAAAAGTGCGCTCACATGCTGAGGTCCCAAGCCAAGTTTGATGGGTGCGCAAATCTCAACTCATCCCGTGCAGACACTGAGCCATGAGGTACCTGCTTAGTATTCTCATCTCGCTTCAATCCTGTCCTACAGCGAGGCTTGGTGTGCGCACGCCCTAAGTCGTTGTTGTTACAGGAGTCAAACACACGGGGAGCTCTAGACTGATTTATCACTTTTTAGGAGAAAAAAGTTATCCATTTAAATAGATCACGACATTTAATAAATTTTGATTATCTTGATTGATTGATTGATTGACGTCTGAATAAATTCATGTGGGCCATTCTAAAACCCTTCGTCTCGAAATTAATTCGTACTGTGTATAATTAGATTTTATTTGCTTATTACCTATTTTATGTAAACGATTATTCTCCTAATCGTCTACTTAAACGATTCTTCAGTTATATTAACCTCCTATACCTTTTGGTATTCTGTAAAACAAGCACAATTCTTTTGCCGATTTGAAGAGTGAGTTCAAGTCGTCCGTTCGCTGTATTGAACCCTCGTAATAAGGAAACTGTTTATGTAGAAAAGTACATTTACTTAAACTTCGTAGGGAAGTGAACAGAGTTTGGCTCTGTGGTTGAACCCTCGCGATCTTGTTTGTTTCCACCTTCAAATGGGAGGGCGGTGAATGTTGTCGAGGAAGAGACGAGTTTCAGACGTTAGTCTAGTTATTGCGGAGTTAAATAATCAGTTGGCTAATTGTGGATCAGCTTTAGCGTGTAAATAACTATGCGAGGTTCCAGATAACCAATGTCGGATTAGCAGAAGCTAGAATGTTGGTAGCATAATAAGCTCTCTAAATTGCTTAGCATTCTGCTAAGATACTTGTGTCTTCCTAGTTTCGAGAAGGCTGGAAATGTTTACATGGCGCACAGAAAAGAAGGTGAGTTTATAACCGTTGTGTCACCTACAGTAGCTTGTCATATACCATATCTACAGCATATTTCTACAAATATGTCTCAATAATGCAGCTAGCTGCTTTAGTCTCGTGCTAAGTTGCTAACTAGCCATGTTGTAAACAAATGCACGTGTCTCATTCTTTCCTCTTCCGTTGCAGTTTTCTCGTGTAGCTAAATGTAATGACTTTAATAAATTTATCCTTCATTGTGTACATTATTTTTTTTGTTTTTTGGTGAAGGTACCCCGCAGTTGTATTATTCTTTTAGTATGACAAAGAATAAAAAAACGAGAATGTTTTAAAATATTGGTGGGTAGGACACGTTTGAGATGATGATGCAATATTATACAAGTATTCATACTCTTGGAGTTTTACACAGTTTGTTACAGTACAATTTTTTAATTGTGTGTGAAAAAGCAACACAAATCGTGCTGGTGAAGTGAAAGATTATTCATAGTAAGATTAAAAATGTTTCACAAGTGTGACATGGCAGGGTGGCATGCCCTTCCGCAAATTATCCTTCTAATTTCCAAAAACATATTTGTGTTGAATATCTCTTTTTAAAATATACTTTAAAAAGAAATATTTTAAAGTATTTCTTTAAAATATTTTTGTGGCTGTAACATGTACAAAATGAACAAGTTCAAGCATTTGAATATGTTTACAAGGCACTGAGTACTACATGCTTCGTTTTTGCTTGATTTTATTTAGTTTGACGGTCCATTAGAGTCAAATGATGCAGCATTTGATTCAACAGGACTGTATGTAAAAGGCCCTTCTTACTCTCAAAGGAATTAAATATGTTTTACAAAATAAATAAACAATTTAAGAGATATTACTGTGTTGTTTCTACAGTGTTTAAATCAAAAGTTCTCCAGAAGCTCTATCCTGCAATTACCACTGAGGGAAAGGAAGAAAACTTATCAGCCATTTCAGAAGATCAGGCCACAACAACTCATGTGAAAAGAACATGCGGAGAAGAAAATGCAGTTGGTAAGCTCACACCTTTCCACATCCTTGCTCTTGTTTTATGTTAGATTTATATGTTTTTTATTTATCAGGAGATACAGAGAAGCCACAAAATGCAGCCAGTCAATGCCGCCGGATGTACACAGTCCTACCTCCTCCTCAAGGCTATAATGTACATGCAGAGAAATCTGTCACACTCTTCCAGCTTGAAAGCGTAAACCGTGAAGAAGATCCTGCTGGTAAGACAGCCATAGTCTTAACATTTATGGACTTTGCCATGCACCATTTAGTTCGCAGAGATTTATGATATGGGCTTTCACTAGGCTTGCTCTCACAAGCATTGTAGTCATTCATTTTGATTGTCTTCATAGCTCTGATGCAGGGTTATACTGGAAATACCAGTAAAAAAATAATTATAATCTTTTTTTTTTTTTTTAAGCTGAGATTAAGTTTATTGAAGTGCAGCTGATGGCTGATCTTGGGTGAATATTTTTGTATATCACTTTATAGAACTGTATATTTTTTTCTGAGACTTGCTTGTCTGAAGCAGCTTGATCATATAGCACAGTTGAATAATCCTGTCCAAGTTTGCATCTATTTTTACATGAAAAGGAAAAAAATATTAACCACCCACCAACATAATATATGTAAAAATAATGTATTTGAGTTGAATAAATATTTTTTTCTCCTCAAAATAATTTGCGCAGATGGCAAACTGATAAATTAATCGGTTACAGATACTTATTTTATGTTATAAATACACACTCAACAAATAACCTGAAAAAACTGTTTACGACTGAATCCTTACTTTTCTCCATTCTTTAGCTCAGCCATCAATAGCTGACAATTCATCTTTGAGGTGCGGCCTAAATTAAAATTGACAAAGTATGTGTAATTTTATACTATAACTCTTTGAATATTATCACCTATGTTAACTGAAATGTGTAGTTGGTGATTTGGTTAGTACAAAGCAAAAAAAAAACTAATGTCAAGAAATAATGGGATTTTTCTCTTACTCTGAACTATGAAAACAACACATTAAAACTGCATGCATAAGTAAGATTTTGCAAGTCTTCAAAATATTAGGAGAGGGTTTTTGGAAGGACATCTAAAAGGGTGACTTTGAATATATCCTCTTACAAACTAAAATGAGGAGCGCTATCTGGAAATTGTCTTGATCTTTTGAAACAATAGTTTCAAACATTCAATGATGAGCAGTTTACCCTCACTTCTAACAGAGGAAAGTGTGCATAGGAACAATGAAAAGGAAGATGAAGAAAAGGAGATGGAAGACCAGAAAAGGAAAAAAAGAAAAAGAAAAAAGAAGAAGCCAGGCCCTTCTCAAGACTCTTGGAAAGATGGCCCTCCGGTGAGCGACGGGTCAGGTCAGAGTCAGGTGGCAGTGGACAGAGGAAGCGAGCACATTAGCAGGAACAAGAAGAGAAAGCTGAAGAAGAAGAGGCACAAAGAGAAGTTGCTGTCCTTCGGACTGATGACCCGTGCTGCTGCTCTGGAGTTCACTTACAGTAGAGATGCAGAGGAGGAGGAAGATAACCAGAGAAAAGCTGCTGAGGTGTCAGAGTTCCTGAAGACAACACTGGAAATCTATTTGTCAGACTGTAAGTATTGGCACCTCCTCTGCAAGCCATTGTAGGTATTGATCACTGTCTCTGCACTCAGGCCTGTACCCTTTGTTAAAGCAGCTCTCAGTCTGTAGAATGGATTATTTCCCTGCAGGATGGATTACTGTGAGTTAGTAGGTAGAGTAGTTGTCTTGCAATCGAAAGGTTATAGGTTCAATTCCGGCTTCCTGGGCAACACACTTAACCCCATGTTTCCTAACGGTGTATAAATATGTGTGTGAATCGGTAAATGTGGCCCAGTCAGTATGACTGCAAAAGCGCTACATAACTTAATTCCATTTACAATCTATTTAGTGCTCTGATAAAAGAACCAAAAAGATGACTGAATATTTCTTTGGATTAAGACATCATTTAAAGGAACACTTGAATATGTGATTGAAAGAATTAACTGGAAATGAGTCAACCTAGTCAAAACATATTTACTGATGAATAACTGATCCAAAACAAGAAGTAGCCAAACAAATGATGTGGCTCAAATCCACTTTGCCCGATTCAAAGAGTTTTCCATTAGTAATGGTTACATGGCATCAGCCCCATTTCAAGAGAGCTAAGTCAGGCTGAAATGCAACATCAGAAAACTGCTAGTCACTGATTGACTTGGGGATGTAGTCAAATGTATTTTGCTGTCCCAGTCTTTTCTGTGTGTTGTGATATTTATGCCTTTTTGTTGAGCGTGCGGTGTGGAGTGGCACTGATCTGACCGCACATATCTATGTAAACCCAATAATTTAATTTGTGTGCATTTAAATCTCACAAACACTCGCTCAACTCTGACAACTCTCGTGACTTGAATTTTAATGTTAAAAGATGAAATATCTAACAATTATCAAGATTTATCTATCAGTATAACAAAAGTTCTGTCATTGTAGTTTTAGAAAAGGGTGAAATAATTTGATGTCTCTAAACCACCTGATGCTTCCAGCACCATAACAAAGGAAGAGTTGAGAGCCTCTCTGTGGTCTGACATTGGGCTGTTGTCTGACCAGCAAGACCTTTGTCCACACAGTTACCGCACTCACACCTGTCAGCTGGACTGAAAAGTCATATTGGAAGAAAAACTTAAATCTTGCACAGCTGCACAAAAAGTAGACTATATAACGTTGCTTATGATGCAAACAAATATTTTTCGCTACTGAATCTGACAGGTTGGTCACCCATGTTTCTGAAGCCCCCTCCTGTTTTTATTGTGTGCAAAGCACTTTGTGTTGTCCATGTTGTCTCGAATGTTTTCCATACAGATGGATAGATTGAAGATGTCCTTTATAAGATTTATAAGATTTTAAACTTTACATTAATGCCTTGTATATCAAATCTCTTTTAATTTACTGTATTTTCAGCCTCTCCTCATGGAGTCAAGTTTCCTCATCTTTCTGCTACAGTGGATGGCCTTCTAATGTGTCTAGAAAGCGGATCTAACCCAAACTCTGTTCTCAACAAGCTGTACAGTCTTAAAAAATTAGTTCAACAGAATCAAGCTGACAGTCTAGAATTGGCACTCGCGGAGCTCAACAACGACGCCTATATGTCTGAAGGTGGGTCAAATTATCATAGCAAGTGTAATTCAAATAGATCAGTAAGAAGCTTTTGTTAAATGACACTCCATGGTTGTTGCTGGAGCTTACCCCTGGCATTTCTCAAACACGTCCTTGCAGGTTAATACTTGCCTCACTCTGCTCTTGCTTGCCTCCTATTAGTATTTACTGCTCAGCTGATTACCCTCACTTGCCTATTTCAGCCTAAACATGCTCCTACTTGTCTCTGTTTGGTTAATACCAGAGGTGATCTTGCCCATAATGCACCTCTCCTGGTTTAGCAAACATGTTTTGTCTTGTCTTAAGGCCATCACCAGTCAAAACCTTTCTTGCATCCCCCGACACCTCCTGTATATTTCATTGTAACCTTTTCTGAGAAGTTGGGGGTAGGAGGGCAAGCAGATTGTGTTGTATGAATAGGATGAGCACAGACATTGAATGAGCTTGAAGAAAATCCAACCAGAGGATTCAGGTGTCATGAAAATGACTGGTTTTCTGCTTTGCAAAAGAATCCTTTCCACCCACCTGTTTTATATCTGCCTCAAAGCTTTTTAAACTCCCAAGCATTGCAGCTGTCGTCCTACTGTATGAGTCATGCTTCTATTCACATGTATAGATTGGGACTTAACATGTGACAATTTTCATTGTGTTTTTTATTAGCTTGCATTATGTCATAATTATGTTTTCTTCCTGGACTGCTGATGTTTACTGCCAAGGCCAGAATTATTCACAGCCCTGACAGATTTATGTTCAAAATAATCTTTCAGTTTGATTAAGGTGTTTGTTCTGACTGGAAGTTATATTAAAGTTTTGGATTGATCCAACCAGATCAATAACTTGATTATGATGTGGAGTTTTAGGATATGCAAGGCTTCCAACAACTAATCACAAAAGGTAAATCAACACAATACTAGTGGAAAGATGCAAAAAGCTAGCTGTAAATTAAAACAAGAAACACATTTGTTAAGCATTATTGATTAAAATGTAATATAATTTATCCTAAATTAATGGCACACTCTTGCATCTATTGTATGGTATTTCCCATTCCAAAGAAACTTCTTGGTTCAATTAAAATAATTCTAAATTTAAAGCCTTCAGGGGTATGAACAAGAAAACGTTTCATATCTCTACTAAATTTGACATCATTCTGAATCACTGAAATGAACATGTTTAGGATTTATTCAGCATTTCAAACACCATCCACCTTATTCAAGCAGTATCTTGTGCTTTAGTGTAATCCAGATTCACTGGCATGCATGAGCTAATCCAGGTGAATGCGTGCTTTTAAAGCTCCTCAAATAAAGTTTCCAAAGCTCTTCTTATTCCATCTACCCCCCAGGGATGGCAATTAATTGACTTCCAAGACCAAATTTAAAGCAGATTTCCTTTAAGCATGTCTAGGTTCACTCTGAGAGTCTTCCATGAATAATCTCAACAAGCCTTCCTTGTGCCATTTGTTTTTACTTTCTGCACAAGTCAAACTTGAGCTCAAACTTGAAGAAATTAAAAAAAAAAGGATTCCACGTCTTTTGGATGGAGGATGTCTCTAAATAAATGTGTGGGAAGCAGATTTTCAAATGATGTGCTGGCACATTTTTGGTTAGAAAAAACAGTCATGAACCATAATTGTTCATGTGGTTTTATGCTGTCAGCAGTAACCAGAGTGTTTTAGTCTGTCCTTTTCTGTTGCAGAGGAAGCCAATGCTGTTGTTTCCCTTTTCAAATACTGGATCACAGAGATTCTTCCTATGCAGAGAGACAAGGAGGCAAGACTTCTAACCACACAGCAATAATACCGTCTGCAACTAAACACCAGACACCGTACAGAGGGATTATTTGTGCTTTTTGGGAAATAGTTTGGACTCTACTGAAAGTGATTTATTTTCACTTTTTTGTTTTAAGAAAATGAAAAAAAATATATTTTAAGGATTGCTGTGTCAAGTTTTCTGTCCTTATTTATGTGAACAAGAACATTTTTAAGTTTTTTTCTTTTTTGTATGAGTTATCTTGAAGTAAAGCACATATCAACTGTAAAATGCTTCTTTTGTTATGCTCTTCTTAATCAAATTAATTTGATTTAAAAAAGAAACCCATAACAATGGGTTTACTACAGTTTTGCTTCTGCAATTTTGAGACCTCACACCTTTTCAACACAATTAGCCAGCAGGTGTCCTGCTTAGGTCCAGCATGCTATAACAGCAGACATGCTGTACCCACCTCACACATATGGTTTACACTAACAGATGCTTGTCTTAATGCCAAGGGACATCAATACCTCAAAGGAATAATGAAATCTGTGAACGCCCATTAACCACAAGGGGATTCTTGACATTTAATTAAGTCTTTTAAAAGTTAGGTAACCTCCTTAACTTTCCTGTCATTTAATTCCTATTCTCTGGAGCATGTAGATAAAATTGCATTAAATAGTTTATTTAAAAAAGTAAGCAAAATCTGGTTCTAGGGACTCATTACACTTGAAACATTATTTTTCAAAAGTTACATTTACTTAATCCATTGATAGGGTTATGACAGTGACTGACATCAAACATTGCTATCAAAACGTACTAGTGGAAAGTGGTGTCACAAGGCATGGGGTTTGGCTGGACTTGGTTTTTGTAAGAGGCACCAGACATGTATCCAAGGCTTGGGCATCATTTTGTTATTGTCTTTGGGCTAAGATGCTTCTGAGTCTGAGACAATGTCAGAAGTATCTCATGTAGTCCAAGAAGAAAAGGAACAGCGTAGTGATCCAACGTCCTTTCAGATGAAGTTTATCTTTGTAAAACTGAAAGTCTGAAAAAGGTTGTAGAATGAATCAGCGATGATTTAGGGAGCCACTTCACAAGCCTCAGCGTTTTATTAAGTACAAAGTTATAGCCATCTACCAAAAAAATCTAGTGTAGCACACTGCCAATAAAAATACCAGGCTTAATGACCATGGTGGAACTGTGCTTGATAAACCAGCAAAATCATCTGACATAAAAGCTCGGGGAGGGGGTGCGACACCAGACCACAGTGTAGACAACCAGAAGGCCTCTATTAAAGTAACCTGGGCTTCCATTTCATCTGAACAGAGCTGGAGATTGATTACCTCCATATTGTGCTGCACTGATGCAATAATTTATGCTAAAGGAACCCAGATCATGTGCTAAGTGTGTATTGAGCATTTTATGTCACCGGTTACGTGCTTTAAATGCTAACATACACTCTTGTTGGTAAACAGTTTAAACCTATACCACATGGGGATTTAACGCCATTTCCATTGAATGCCTGTCGTCAGCTATTTTGAAACAGTTTCACACAGCTTACTATCCAGCAATGAGTTCAGTGAAAGGCCAGATAATTATCTCAGCTGGACGGTGACAATTCGGTGGCCTTAGCCAAAGCCGCTTGCGACTTATCACCTTCAGTGGAAGTGTTGTTCTCGGTACTGCACACACCAGTGGAGAGCAACAGGTTACGACTCACAACACAGATATGTGTGACCGATGACTGGGTATTTTAAGAGAAGGCAGCCATCTGTGGCCTGTGTTTGTGGATGAATGGAGACCAGGTGGTGCACCTGATGGGAGCTCAGATTCTCATTGTTATGATATTAGCCAGAGGAGAAAATAAGGGCAGACATTGTGAGATTATGTGAGATCAAACAGGGGTGATCATTTGCAGATTAATGGACAGATTTTAGATTAACTTAACAGCTCGAGGCCTTTCAGTGCTGGATCAACTGTTTAATTATCTTCCCAACAACAGCGAGTTTATTAGTGTCAGGTTTAGATAATTCTCACATTTTTGTACAGAATATGTAAATTATCTATAGAGTAACCTGTGTTGTTAAAAAAGCAGTACATTTGCATACTTTTGCTGATTTTGTCATAAGAAATTCAATTTGGTAAAATTATATATTATCAGTTCACTTTTGCATTGTACATTTTATTAGAACTGTACTTTATATTTTAAGTAGTTATAGTTGTTTGTGGTTGCATAAATATATTTTTATCTCAATTTTTTCCCTTGTCTCAGGAAATTGCAAATGCACCACAGCACCAACTATCAAGGAGTTCTCTGAGAATATTAATTGGTGCAATACATTTTCATATTAACATTTTTGGTTGCTAGCCAATACTCAGTAATTTAGATTTTGTCATTCATGAAAGTATTTCTTATACATAAGATCTTGGCCAAGTAAACCCAACATGCTTTGGTCCTATTTTTCTTTTTCCCTCTCAATTTTTCTATTAACTTGTCTTAGAGTAGATATTTCAGTTTTCCAGGCAACAAATCTGTTTTCATATCATTATATTCATATTTGTGGCTTTGGAGGAGAAATCTCCTGGCGTATGCATTGATACATAACAGCCTTTTGGATCAGATTTATCTTGTTTTGCACTTTTATATGCATCTGTTTTGTGCAAACAAAAAAAGATTCTGGCATCAAAAGATGTATTATTGTCAAACTTTGACACTGTTTATGAATGCATGAATTAGTAGCCATTTATTATCATTGATGAGAGACAGGGTTACTTTAGGATTCTCCCTCTGGAGACAATTACACTTCACCACGACAAGGGATACTCAGCACAGCAATGCTTCCTCATTATTAGATTTGGAACCGTGTGGTCAAGGCGGCCAAGAGAGATATTACATCTGAAATAAAAACAGCTGAAATAGCAAAAGAGGCCATGGTGGACATCAACAAAATAACTGCAGATTCAGATGACACAATCTGGTGTGTTTTTTTAATTTTTTACTTTAGATGACTTTTGCAGTAATCAAGTGTGGCCATCTTCTCTCTCCCAGGTGAAGAACAACATGATGTTATTATGTTTTACGTGGTGAACTCCAGATAGATTGTCATCACATTCATAGTGTTTGTGGAGTGCGGAACTAAGAAGCCGTCCTTTCAACATATTATTCCACATAAGATGTTGATTTCTGCAGCTGCCCTAGAGCTCCACTGGCTGCTTCATTGATTAATATTCTCATTACAAGGCCAGCCAGTCTTTATATTTTCTGGATGTCGTATCAATTATTGTTCAAAGTTCTCTGGTAATCGTGGTGTTTTTTTGTTTTCTAGCAAGCTTTTGCAGAACTCATACTAAGATTAAAACAAAAGTAACCAATTGGGTTATTAAAAGCTGACTTTTTTAGAGGTTTTAGAGTTAAGCATATAATACCTCATTTTTACTTTTTCATTCATAAAAAGTACAAAAATATATATAATTTTCCATCCTCTGCACATGTGCACGCACCACTTTATGGTAGCCATTGATATTAAGTCCTAATAGGAAGAGACACTGAAATCTGTTGTTATATTTTGATAAAATCTGGAAAGGTTCAGGGGGTATTAATCCCATGGAATCTAGTCTAAAACATTATCTTGACCATAATATAACATTTTTGAGCAGTGTCATGCATTTTTACAATATATTCCCCCTAAATTTTATTTTAATGTCAACACATCATCTAGAAAACATCTCCAAATGTTTCTCTTTGCACTGAGCTCTTAGTCCTTTAATCTCCTTAGTCTCACCTCCTGCAGCCTTCCTGTTATGCAAACAGTAGAAGGAGTTGGTATAAGGGCTAACCAGACTGTCTCATGTCAGAGCACAGGTCATAGGCTAGACAGTCAGCACATACACACAGGGCTGCCAATCTGTCAGTGGGGGATCCCTTCCAGGGACTCCAGGGAGAGGAGCTTCAGAAAATAGAGCCCAGGTGATCCGGCCTTTAACTCTGATTTCCATCGGATTTTAAAAGAAGTCCATGGTGGAAGGCTCCAAGATGATTTTCAGACTCCCAACACTCACTCCCGGTTACATCAGGCTGCTTCAGGTGAGCAAAGTACAACTTTTCTTTCAACGTTTACATAAACAAAATCTCAATTTGTATGTTCTAGGGTCATAGCTAACTGCTTGAGGAATCTGGTTTGTAGATAATCTAATGTTTTGCATGAGAAGCAAAGTTTTTTAATACCCAATAGACAAGAGAAAGCTTTAATGACTGATCCTGATCCTGGTGTTAAGAAAATTCCCGTGAGTTGTTTCTGCACTTGCAACGTCTTTGACAAAGTGATTTCCCCTAAGCCATTTGGTGCCATAATGCTGACATTTATTTCACTCTATTGCCTCAATAAATTCTGCTGTGACAAGATGATGAAACACAGCGCTTTCTTAATATACACTCATGATCCACAATTAGGAGATATTTCCAAACTGCTGTGCCTGTAATTGTAGAACGGCTTTTATTTTTGCACTGTGGTGGTTGTTTATGTCTCAAACAACTGAGAAACCCGAATCGTGACAGTCAATTATATTTTACACAGATAGTAGCAGTGGACGAGTGAACACAGGAATTGCTTCCTAACTGCCTGTGACACAGCAGCCATGGAAAAGATTAAGTTTTTATGATTTGCTCATCTTTGTGTCCCATAAAGCAACATATGAAACTGTTTGTGTCCAATGACAAGTCTTTTCTTTCTCTAAAGAGAAAAATCACAGTTTAGTAAAGAATGAAAAGGATTGGTGGGAGGTCTTGAGAACTGATAGCTGTCGCTTTTTCTTTCCCGTCAGACCCAGGCGTTCCATAACATACCTGTGACACCTCCGGCCGAGAAGACCATGCCTGGTGTGGCTATGCTGCTGGGGGCTGTAGGGATCGGGATGTGTGGCTACAGCTCCAGGCAGTTGGCCCTTCACCACAGGCCCTCCACTCGTGTGCTGCACTGGGTTGGCACGCACACTGACGCTGGCGGTCCTGGTGCTGCGACACATAGAACCGGTGTGCTGGATGTAACCCGCCGAGCTCCCACCTCTCAGGAGATCCCACCTCCATCCTTTGTGGGCCAGAAATTTCCCTAAAAACAGCTACTATGTCATGACTTTAGAATATAAAACATTGAAGTTAAAGTTCCTGTAGCTACACTTCCTCACAACTCAGATTGTAGCTATGCTGGCCCGTTGCAGCTGCAGTGAGGCCCATGTGCTCTCTGAAGATGAGTAAGTGTAGATACCTGACTTAACGTAAATAAAAAACATAATCACATGGAATTCCTTACGTAGTGCAATGGATGTAACAATAACTCAAACTTTAAGGTACTGACAGGACACTTTTTAATAAGAGTGACTGGATGAGTATATTACAGATGCTGGAACTTCCCAAACTTGTGTTGAGTTTGACTTTGCGAGTCAGATTGTTTAATTTGAAAATATTTTCCCTATTCTAAAGTTGTGGTATTTAAAAAGCATCAAGTTTGGCATTGCCCCTCTTTCTTTGAGTCTTACAAAGCAGACAACTACGTTTTAGTGCTTTACCAGCACATTGATGCCCATGACTTCAATGGTATTTTCTCTGATCAGGTATAGTCAGTGCAACACAGACTATACTATCAATGGAGAGCGTTACTGAAGGACAAATGTGCAACAGTTTCAAAATATGAAATCCAGGAATGTAAACTATTCATGCACAGCTACATTGTGCAGGATTACTATTGCAGGTTTTGTGTCTGAGGCTTTGGTGTTGGCCGTCAGGCAAAGCAGAGTGGCGATTCCTTCAGGATAAACTGTCCTACTAGGATTAACCTTGGTGGAAAATCAACACACACTCGTTATGCTAATCTGGAATTAGAGAGACAAAGACCTGAGGAACTCAAGCAGTTCCTATGTGACCAAACAACGTGCCGTTCACCCTGCAGTGTCCACCATTTCTCTGAGTCATAAGCAGAGTTAGAAAATATATATTAATGTTTGTTTGCTTTTTTAATTGTGCAGACATAAAGGGAAAAGGGGACCTGAGATATGTCGAGACACTGAGTGTGGTTGAGAACGTGTGCTGTGCCTTATTGGTTGCATGGGATTACACTGTCTTGGCAAGAGGTGCAGAACATTCATATGTGAGAACACATAAAAATTTTGAGAAAGTTGATTTTATCCATCAGAGTGGTGAGTTGGAGCAGGTGCAAGTGTCTTAAAGCTCCACCTGTGCTTCTTCACAATAGCGCAGCATGTTTCCACCAAAACGGTCATAATCCACTCAGCAGGGGACACTGACAGCTCCAACTGGCATCAGATACAGAATAATTGCCCAGGACAGCATCTTTTAACAGTTACATAATGTGATTATAATGGTAACAAATTTTGAAAAATCCACCAGTAACATGGATGACAAATCATTTTTTGCCTGTAGTCACAAGAAAGTAGTCACAACTTGGGTGCCATGTTCAAGCTTTGCACTCTGAGGATTTGTGAAATCGTTGTGGTCATGGGCTGAAGGCTGTGTAGTGCACTTGACTGACTTTGATAAATCCTCACTATACTGCAGTGTTGCACACCGAGCCCTCTGGAAACGTATTGATCTCAATCAGAGTAAGAGAGGATGCTCTTTTCCCCATCGCAGCAAAGCTTCTCTCAGTTTTCTGCACCTTATTACAGAATACTGACATATTGTGTTGTGGCGGATTAAAAATGCAGGGGATGATTGAAGGCATCATATTCATCCTGTCAGCTTACTGTGTGTCACAAACCAGTGCTCATTTATAAGTGAATTGTAGTTCAGATCTGTTAAATAAAGGAGAGATGTTGTCTGTAGAAGTTCATACTTAATAAATTCATGTTGCACAAGATCACTTCTGCTGTTGCACTTTAGTCACAAATGTTAGTCGAACAGCCTTTTCAAACATTTGTGGGGTTTTTTCTATTTTTTGTAAAAAGAAATAAATGTTTTTAGTTAAATTACCATTCATGTTGTTTTGGTTTGATGGGACACTGGGAAGCAAGAGAATATTTCTAATGTGCTTAAATTATTCATTGTTGGAAAGATATGACAACATTGTTAATGAAAAATACAAATGTTTACATTTGGTAGTCAAGAACAAACAGTTTTAAAACAAAGAAATCATATTTTAAGTCATAAAATAGATGCGAGTGTAAACTATTTTTACAAGTAAAACCTGTTTGCATGTTATATAGCTACCATGCATGATATATATTCACATATATAATTATATGAATTAATTTTAAACTAATTTAAAAGGTAACGAGAAGTACTTTGTAGTCATATGGTCATATTAAATTGACAATTGCTGCACCTACATTCACAACAAAATCAAAAGCATACAAGATCAAAACTGAATATTAAAGAAAAAATGGAGCAGGACTTTGGAAATAACTTCCATGGTTTTCTCATAGTTTTGTGTTTTATTTTGGGAGAAAAGTCTAAAAGTGCTTCTTGAAAATAATTTGCAGTGACCTGTAGAATACTGACAAAACACGTTAGATAACTCAGTTTTTTGTCACAATAAAAAATCTAAATTGGATTGAGGTTTAGACTTGAACTAGGCCGTTCAAACACATGCAAATGCTTTGAAATAAACTGTTGCATTTTAGATGTGGCTGAATGTTTGGGGGCATTGTCCTGCTGGAAGCTGAACCAACACCCCGCTTCAAAAATTTCAAAACCTCTAATAGGTTTTCTGCAAGGTAATCCTGTATATAACCTCAACTCTGAATACTTTTATCAACCTGATGAGGAAAATCCTTCCGACAGCATATTATCTCCACTGATATTATTCACAATCGAGATTTCCTCAGAGTGAGGACATGTGTTGTTGTTTTGAATGCCCTATATCCCTTTTCTTAATTTCACAATTATGCACTAATTTGTTGAGATAAATGCTAAAATAAACTAACTGCACAGTAGATACTCTAATACAAAATTCCACATTAAATTTTTTTCCTTGATTGTACAGTGACTGACCAATCAATCACTGATTAAAACAACAACACAGCTATAGGAGCTTGACTTAATGCTGGTGAAGATATTAACATTTGTTAATAGGTCTAAGAATCTGTCACCAGGACAAATAGTAGTCATGGACTACATACAAAAATGTTATGTGTTTAAAAAACTTCCAGTGATATTATTAGACAAAAAAAAAAAAAAAACTCAGGGATTCTAAAATTAAAAGTCGCAGGTGTTCAGAGTTCTGTTTGTAAAGAATTTTCAAAACCATATTTTAAAATTTTGTTTGTACAGAATTTACAAACAACAAATCTTTAAATAATAAAAGCAGAAGCTCTGTGGTGCAGTGGGTCAGTAGGTCATCTGTTTCATCAGGTCCAGGGACAAATGAGGGCGGGTCATAACTTCCCAGAGGGTTGTCGATTTTCCCCACCAGCACAGCCTGACTGTGCCCTCCAGTGGACAGACGTGTGGACTTGTTTTTAGGTGTTGTAGTTTACAAATATTTTCAGTGTGACGTGGATAGAAACTTTCTCTTTCCTTTTACCCCCTTTTTTTTTTTATAATGGCGACACTTAGAGGGGAAAAGTCTCGCTTGTGTTTGAGTTTGAACGGCAAGAGCTGCGGCTGGGTCAGTGCAGCCGCCTTTGCGTCTCTACACTGAAGAAAGCAGCAGAAGAAGCGCCTCTGGTTGGGCAGCGCTTCAGACACACAAAGTAAAGCGGGAAGGAGCAGAAGAAGCAGGACGACTTCTCATTAAGCAGATCTGAAGATTCTTGGAATTACTTATTTCACTTTTAAAGGTTTGTATCTAGTTTCATGTTATAATTATGGAGGAATAAACTTTTTTTTGCGATTGGGGGAAAACATTTCAGGCTGAGAGAAGAGGTTTTTAGAATTAAGATGTTTGCTTTATTCACAGCTCGGACAAGTTGAGTGCACTGTGGCTCGGATTGGTGCGTTTGCTTGTTCTGCGCATTTCTTCTGCTGAAATTTGAAGCCCATAACGGCTTATTTTGTTTTCTGTTTTGATCTCTCTTGGCTAGACTAAACTAGACCGTCTAAGTTCAGCTCAGGACTTCACCCAACTATAATTTAGCTTCCTTATGTAAACATTGTGATTTTCTTAACAGGCGAATGTCCGTTATTAACGCTATGCAAACACAGACTTTTAGGAAGCTGTTTGCTGCTGCATGACCTCACCTGACAAATTACTGGATGTGTGCAGGTCACCTCAGCGCTGGTCTGCACCAAGAGCAACAAGTACCTGCAAGGCCGCTTCCCCGGCCCAATCTCTGTTGATGCAAGATGGGCAACTTTTCCACCAAGGACAACCATGGGAACACAGGTAGGTCAGCACACCAAATGCAGCTTTCAGCAGGGGCAGTTCTTGCAAGATTGGTGCCTTGGGCATCCACTTGCTGGCCCCCCACTTGCTAATCCATACTCTTTCTCTGTTCTCAAAAACACAAGCTGGAGATTTTGAGAACGAAAATCAGTTTGCCTGTATAGAGTAACTCATGGTTTTTTTTAGCTGGAGAGATAGATAGAGAGACCTCTGGTAATTGCAGGGGTTAGGAATTGCAGCTGAATGTGAATAGCTAATATCTGCGAAGTTACACCCTCTAAGAACACCTTTTTATTTTGATCGTTCAAAATAAATACCTTAACTGAATCTGCACAATAGAAACCGTCAGCACTACCACAGAAGTTGTTATCTACAGTACCTTATTTTATACTATTGAGGGAAGAGCCAGTCATCATCAAAGAATATAATGGCACTCATAAATTGGTTTCATTGTAATTTAGAAGTGCTAATAGCCAATAGCATGTCAGCCCCCTTGCGCTTGCATATTTCAGATTCCTAAGCTGCAATTTCTTTTGAATAATATGCTCCACAGAAAAATCTATATCTGTGGAATCATCATGAATATTGTACTACAAATATGTAGTCTGTGTGTAAATATCGGCAAATGAAAAAAAAAGAGAAAGAAATAGAAATCCTAATTTTTCTATTTAAAGTAAAAATTCAACAGTCGGAAACTATTTTAGGATGCATTAAAATTAATGGTAAACTGAACTCTGGCTCCTTTTTTGGAAAGTGATTCATTTTAAAGAGGTGTAAATGATAATTTGACCCACTCAACCTTTTTTTTTAAAATATATATAATGTTTAAAACATTTTTTGTAATATAGAAAGTAAAATGTATCTAATAAGGGAAAGGAGAAGAGAAGAACAACTACACAAATTTTCCCAAAAAGTGGCTTGGTCGTGATTGTGAAACTGAAGGCAACAAAAGGAAAGGAAAGGCAAAGGCTGTATGTGTGTGGCTGCAGGAATCTTGGCAGCCTTCCTTCGTGTTGCTCAGTGAGTGGTCATTCTCCTTGTGTCCCTGTGTGATTCGTCCTGGGCCTGCCGAGCCAGCTGTGATGAATCGGCAGAATTCCCCTGCTCACTGCAAGGGCAGCGGATTAATCATAGGAGGCCTAATACTGTCTGACTCACACACCCACACGCACACACACACACAAACTTTGTTAAAATAACTCAGATCTTACCTTATTCAGTCACTTTACCACCCATACACATGAGCGAGGGAACATATTTAGAGCTGGAATGGAAGATAAAAAAAGCAAGTGTTGCATTAGATCTTTATTAGACAATCCTGTCATTCTTCATGAGTGAATTTTTCCTTGCAGCAGGTGGTGCATAACTTTACAAATGTTCAAATGCAGCTCTTACATCACTTTTGAAAAAAACAAAAACAATCCCTTTGCTAGTTGGGCAGCGTCTGCCCAAACATGGGAAAGAAAGAAAAGAAAACACTGTTCTCCCCTTTTCCTATTATTGGTTAAGGTATAATTATTGCTGAACCCAGAAAGAGGAAAGTAATGTCTGCTTCTGTGTCTAACCTGATAATTTATTGGAAGCCCAATGCTACGATGCTCAAAATGTCACCTCCTGTGTTATTTAATGTGGGAAATGAACGTTGCAGCGTTTGACTCCATGCATGATTATAGCCTGGGTGTTTTGCGAGAGCCATCCCACTGAATATTGTTTTCAGTGTCAACAAGCAAGACTAGTGACGACTAAATGCTTATTTTCTTAACACTGGCTTCAATCCAGCTGTTTTCGTTGTGTCTTGCTGCTGCGGATCATAAAATATGATGCTTGCAGGCTCTTCCATGTGCCATTGTTTAAAAATACTGATTTAGGATTTATACTCCTTGGAACATTTCTCACATTTTTTTGTGTTAACAACCACCATATTGTGAAGTAGCATGAAAACGGTGCTCTTTTGCGATAATTATAGCTGAAGATCTTTGGGGTTATGTCACCACCAGCTATGTTTGTGCTAAAATCCTTTACTGTTCTTTGCAGAACTACTCAAGTGTTATCAGAGTCCATAGTTGGCGCTTCTGACAACAATACCAATTCATGGCACAGATTCTCAATTGGACTTAGAACTGGACTCTTCTCATTAATTCCTTTTTTATTCCTAGGGCCACCTTTGGAGAGTTTCCACACTCCACCTTCATCTCCTCAGAGCAGCATTCCCCAACTTCCACTCCCTACCACATCCCCTAATTTATCCCCATCACCAGCTGCAACCATCACTTCAAGTGGGAAGAAACCACACCAATGCTCTCCAAGAAGCCCTATCCCCCCTCCTGACTGGAAGCCTCCTCCACCAGGTGGCCCAAGCAGCTCTGTAGTCAATCCTGCAGTGAGCCCTGTTCTCAAGAAAACTGGCAGTATTGTGGCAGGCAAGGGGCAAGCTTCTTCAGGGAGAAATGGCGGCCTACCAACCGCCACATCTAGAACTTCAGGCTTCCAAGTGAAGAGTGTGGCTGTTAGTCCTATAAAAAGTCCTTCGTTGGTGTGCAGCGCGCCACCTGCCACCATCTCCTTGGAGCAGAGCAAGAAAGAAAGAAACAGTAGTCTGAGTGAGTCCCTCCTGCTAGGTAATGAAGACAAAGACAAACAAAGCAAAGAACTAGCAAAACTGCTGGAGGAGTGTAGGACTACACTGGGTGTCACAGACAGACAGGATGGGACCACAAATACAACAGGCAAGGATTGTCTCAGTTGGTCAAAGCTTCTCATCCTGTAGTTAATGCAAAGTGATTATGAACTGCAGAAATTTTCTTTGACACATTTCCTGCTTGATTTGCATGTTCTTTCTCATGATTTTTGTTTTCGCCCCCCTCAGAAATGTTGAAGCAACTGCTTACTGAAGTAAAAAGTTTAAAGACTACTTTGCAGGTAAACAATAGCTTTCCTTGTGAGTTTTGAGTTACGTGCTTACTGAACTGTGACTGGTGACAAGTCATGAATATTCATGTTAGGGCTGCGCTGACATATATTTCAATCATTCAAGGATTATAGTTTGCCTTTACAGCAGGTAAAATTGAAGTTCTTACAGTAAATGCATTTCTAGTATTTCTATTAACATGGAAGTCCCACTAAATTTTCATTCAACACTTACAAAATAAAAACAATTCAGTATATATCAAGTTTTGTATAAATGCAGTGATTTGTTTTTAGACCTCCAGATACATGCTTGATATCAGTAATCTCGTTTTCCCCAGCACATTTGATAAATTACTTTTCTTACGTAAACAGGAAGTTATCCACAAGCCAGGTTGGTTGCTATAACCTTTCAGCTGTGAGATAACACTGACACACACATTCTGTCACTTCCCAGCTCCCAAACCACAATAGACTTTGGAATGAGCCCCACTCTGCCTGCTGCGAGCTGAAGCCTTGTTCATTAAAGCTTTTCCTGTCCTCTGCTTGTCCTCAGAGGCCAGAGAGAGGTAGAAAGAGAGAGCAATCTGAAATCACCTTACATCAGATAATGTTGGCACTTGTACACCACTTTAATGTAAGAAGTTAAAAGTCTCAACTTCAACGTTACATTTCCTCCCAAACATGTTATAAACAAGCCCAACCTGAATAACCTGAGTACGATGAAAATAAAATTGAATTCCTTTGAGAATTCAATTTTATTTTAGTAGTCCTCTATTCTACTGCTAAAGCTTTCTGTGTCTTCATGAGGATGATGATATTCTTTGGTAATTTCCTGTCAGTCACTCAATTCTAATGCCTTTCCCTCCCTTATAAGCTCTGTGGGCAGATGCTGTTAGTTTCCTCTAGATCTGCATCAGATTTGAACAGCTGCATATGACCTATAGTGCACCTACTTCATCTTCCGGCAGCATATGTTTTTCCATCATTTATCATTAATAATCTGACATTCTACATGTAGTCCAATCCTCAATGATGTGAACAGTTTATTCACTTCAAGATTTTTCTACTATTTCTTAAATCTCTTGTAAACTTTAAAACATTCTAATTAGGGTCTTAATAACACCAGACTCACACAGGTCAGGAAACCTTAGATAAACAGTAATACAGCACTGAGAGGGGGCCAACATGTCGTGGAAATGGGGCAGCTCAGCATTCGTGTTTACATGAGCCCTCAGCAGAGTGATATGAGCATGTAGAGCTCCTCTTATTAAGCCCTCCCGCTCTTCTGTGAAGGCCTGGGATTCTCTTTTTGTTGAAAATGGAACTGCTATGTAGAGAGCGGGGGTTCACATTCAGTTGTTTTGGAGACAAAACCTGTTTTGTTCTGTGCTCTGCTATGAGGTGGAGGGGGTTGCGCTCTGAGTGTAACTGACTGAGTATATGTTGTTGTTTGTGTCCCATAGGAAAATACATGCAATTTTTACAAAGCAGATTTTTTCCCCCTCTTTTTTTTCTTGCTTTGCATTCTTATTCCCTCTGGAAAAACAAATAAGCAAACAAACAAACAAAAAAAAAAAAAAAACAACTTGTGCCCTGTAATTCAAGTGCATTGAACTTCATTGCCATTTTGTCACATTACCATCACAAATGTCACAATTTTTTATGTGGGATATTTAATAGACAAACACAAAGCAGTACATGGTGTGACAATACTAGTAGTAAACTGACTGATCCCACAAGGAGCACTTTAATCAGAGACTTACAATGACTCTGGAGACGTGAAGCTCAATCTGAATAAAACACATTAAAGTTTGTTGTTGTAAAGTGACAGAATGGGGAAAAAAGATCCTGGAGTTTGAACAATTGTTTAAAGAAGCATTAGGATTATTTTGTGCTGGTTTGAGGTGAAAAAAAAATACAAACAGAGCATGAATCTGCAATAGTTTTATTATCACTTTTGCAGCACTACTCCTTCCTGACTCATCTCACACTTCCTCTCCTTTCTTCTACTTTGTCTCACCTTCTCCCCTCATTTGTTTTATCCTTTTATCTGAGCTCGACTTTGAATTTTTCTTCACCATATCTGGAGATTGTTTAACCCCTTTTCTATTCTGTTTAAGTACCCGACTATTCTTCCTGTGACATTTTACAGCAAGGTTCTTCTATGTGCTTTCTCTTTGCCACGTTCAAAAATCTTTCTGTCGTGCTGTCTATCCAAGAGTCAGAATGCTTTCCCTATACACTTCTAGCAGCAGAGCACCATCTGTCTGTGCTTATGTTTTTCAGTTGTCTTAACTAGCAAAAGCAAAATCAGCTTATTCATTGTATGTATGTGTGTTACCGCGTGGGTGGCTGGATGAATTTGTGTTCCCGTTAGACCTTCTCATAGCGTTAGACCTTCTCAAAGCCGTGCTTTGGAATCAGTTCCAGGTGAACGCTGCTGGAGATTTTCAGAAATGATCTGCTGGTTCTCTTTTCTCTGCTCACTAGACTGCTCCTGCAAACAAGCCTTAAAAAGGGCCCCTGCACACGGAGGTCATGCAGGCTAGTCACATGTTCGAAGAAGACTGTGCACCAGTTAGGATTTTTGTGTTCATTCTCTGCTAGATTTGCAGTGTTGCTCACTGGTGATTGCATCTGCAGGCTTTGACTCTCCTTAAGTTGAATTGTTTGTAGAAATTGTGCCACTGGTATCTATAAATGTATATAAAAAGCATATTTGTTTTTCAAAATTTATTACAGCATGTCAATGTGATTAACCACAGTGTGACAATTGGCATTTAAAGTGGATGTCTTTTGGAGGTCAGTCTCTCAAGTGTCAAAAAATCCTAACTAGTCCATCTTAACAAAATAGATACAACTTTGGCAGATTGGATGGAGAGTGAACATTAGTTGAAAATCTTGCCACCGATTTTCAATTAATGCACTTTGATGACACATGAATAAGATTTGATTTAATTAATTCTCTGGCTGTATGTTTAGGGTCATTGTCCTGCTGGAAAGTAAACCACTGCTTCAGTCCCAAATATTCTGCAGCCACTCTGACCACCTTTCTTAACCGTACTGAAGAAAACCATCTCCTCAGCATAATGCTGCCACCACCATAATTCAAAGCAGAGATCGCAGTGTCATTGAGATACTTAGATTTAGAACTTGATACCAATACCAAGTGAAATACTTATGATTCATTAAACGCATGATTCATTTTGCTCTCTATCTCTCTGAGTTGGAAGAAGCAGTTGTGCACAAGATAGGAAATAATCAGCTTGAAGCATAGCTCAATACATTTTCCTAATTAAACCCTTTAAAGAGTGATTTAAAAAAAAACTGTAGGAAAATAGGTACAAAACTTGTGTGGTTCATCTAATTCCACTGTGACAAAATGTTTTAAAAGATATTTTCCATTTGTCAGGCACTACATTTCAAGAGCTTTCTAAACACTCTCTGAATTCACATTACAAACTGTGGAAAAGTAGAAAACGGAAGAGAAGAAACATTACGCAGTTGGGATAGATCCCTCAAGAATGTTTTCTAAAAACTGGGTGTGGAGGTGAACAAGGGATAGATGGGTGGAACGTACTCAGAGGACATTTCCAAGTGTGTTGGACCTTTCCCAGGATCAGTCAGGATTTCAGCTGTGCCTGGAGACAAGCATAGACGTATATTTGTCCCTGTCAAGGTTGGATACCTCATCTGGCCTTGCAGGGGGACAACAAGGTCAGGCCTTTTGGGACTGGGTCAGTTTGTGTGTAAATCCACACTGTTATCTCAGTATGAACTGAGTAGCACCTCTTCCTGTTTCCTTAAACAGACATGCTCCAGTTGGTGCATCCACATTCAGATAAGAAATACGCCGCACAGACACGAGCATTGAAAAACAGTGGTGGGGGTGGGGGTTAGGATTTTCTTAATTCAGAACTTGCACAGCTTCAAACAGGAAACACTATGTTTCTTTTCATTTAATGTTTTCAGTAAAGCTAACAGTGAGGTTTGATTTTGAGGTGGAACAAAAAGAAGGGTGTATGTGTGGGAGTGAGAAAAAGGAATATAATATTATGTGTGTGCGTGCATTCAGTGTAATCAAGCCCAGCTGCGGTCTGGAGTCACTGGTCAGATGAGGGAACGTGTTGGCTCAGACTTCCCCTCCTCCTCACATCTCCATCCATTCTTCATCTAATTCCCTGACCTTCCCAACTCCTCTGCTTCTCAGTCTCAATTTCCTGGCTCACGTAGCTCTGCTTGAAACATGTGTGCGATTTAAAACACTTTTATTTCTGCTTTCTCTCCCCATATCCTTTAGCGTTTCGTCTTACAGTAATCACTGCCTTGACTTTCAAAATAGTCTGTTATCAGTTACTTCTTGGCTTTGCTTGTTCAGATTTCCTCTTTTGATCCCTGTTTTATTTGATGTTTGCCTTTCCCTCTTTATTTCAGTATGTTAGCCTCAGATATTCACAAACCTTTCTTCTGTCATTCTTGAAGTTGCGAAACAGTCAATTTGATGAGAATCTTACTCAGAAACTGTATTGCTTATATGTGAAAAACAAAGGAACATCCTTGGATCACTTCCCAAGGAGTTGAGACATAGAATGCAGTTTCACAATACAAGACTGGTGTGAAAGAGAAAATGTTCAACACTTCTGACCCTTTTAGTTATGCTTCTTTAGAAGTGACTTGGAGCTCCACTCCTTTCAGCATGCTGAGTCTTGCTGTTTAGTTTGGTTTAACTTGTGTGGGCCAAATGGATATTTGATTGCTCCTTTTCACAACCTGATATAAATATGCCTGCTTCAGAACAGACGATACACATGTAGGATGTAGTTTATGTTGGAAATAAGCTGACTCTTACATAAAAGCTGAAATCTGTACTCCCAACAATCTCTGACAGAAATGTAGTTTTTAAAAAGATGAAGCAAATTTTCTCCGATACACTTAGTTTCCTGTTATCTGACATATTTGGCTTCTACTAGATGAGACCACCCAGTGTTCTTTTGAGAAGCTTCTGAAACTTTTTTTTTTTTTTGGTTTCCTCTGTTTCCTTCATTTTTAAACAGCTGAGTTGTGCTGAATGGAGCTAAGTTTTCTTTACTCAATAACAATCGCTACACTGAAGATTGTTGTACTATTAGTTCCTCAAAGGAAAGTAGCTACTGTCTCAAGTAATGTTTGTCAGATATACATCGTGGACTCCCGGACTCATTACAAAGGATGAGATATAGACGGTAACATTAAGAGGTAGAACAAAGAAAACATTAGCAAAGTGTAAAAAGCACATGGGAAAACACAATGAACACAGGAGGCTAAAGGTACTGTATAGACTTTATATTCATATGAAGAACAACCAGCATCCACCTCCTTTCATTCCCAACCCTGGTCATAAAGGCAATGGCCTGCAGGTTTTAGATGTTTCCCTGCTTTAACATATTGGATTCAGATGATTGTAGTTCACCAAAAGTCATAAATTGAAATCACATATGCTGAAGCAAGGAAATCCCTTGAGGTGCACCTATTACTGCTCAGGTCTGGCTGATCACTGATCTTAAAAAACCTGATCTTTTTGGGGGCAAAAATTTGGATATTTTTATTAATTGTAGCTCACTAGTGCATTAAATCTCTGTCATGTTTTTAAAATGAGGTGAAATGTCATTTTTTAAGTAACGCCAACTATTTCCCTTCAGACAGAGCGTGGGGAATGGCTGCAGTTCCAGGCAGACTTTCAGGTGGCTGTGTCAGTGGCTGACCGCCTGAAAGCCGAGGCAGAAGAAGAGCTTATGGCGTTAAGAACGGCGCACAAGGAAATTGAGATGGAGCTGACTGCTGCTCAGCAGAGACAGAAAGAGGCTGAAAATCAGCTCGTCACTCTACAAGGAGAACTAAAGGAAACCAGGCAAAAATTGTCTGTTTTTACAGAGGTTCAAAACAAAACTGAAGTTCACAGACGACAGGAGCTAAAGAGATCCAATGGAGAATCCCATGAATCTGAAAGCAAAGAGGGGACCATTCGGGGCAGGGTGAGGGGATTGTGCAGGCTTGGGGGAGAAAGGATGGAAAGTAAGAGTCCGAATCTTGTAGTGAAGAATGTTGTTGAGGATGATTCAATAATAGACTGTAAAGGTATGACTAGAAGTTCCCTGAGAAATGTGACCAATGAGGATCAGGACAGAGCCGATGTTCAGTCCAGTAATTCGCGAAGGATAACAACTTCAGAGAGGTCAAGGTGAGACAAACTCTTAAGCCCACTGTTCTCTTTAAAATGACCGAAATCTGGAAATATATTTGCACTTTGTGCAATTGTGTATACTTTGATAGACTTTTCTGAACAAAACTGTTGTGTCTTTTGCAATTATTATCTTTGGCTTACAAAGAAGGCTAACAATTACCATGTTGAGGTGGGATATTGCTGTGGTTTCCTCTGAATTTGTTTCCACAGATTTCCGTGGGACCGCATGAGGCCCACCTCATCAGATTAATTCAAAGCTCGATCTGAGAGAAACAACTGTCCCGTGAAAAATTGCTAGGTATTAAAGTCTGTTGTTATTATGTGTTAGAAGCCTGTCTAGATTGCCTGCTTCTTCAGACAATGCTGCCAACCAGAATGGAACCTTCCAGATTAACTCCACTTCAACACTGGGGTCAACCAACAGGGTGAGATACAAGCTCTGGCAAAAAATTATTGTAATTTAATTTAAGATCAGTTAACCCTTATCTATGCTGTCAGTTAACAGAAGTTTTGTCTTCTAGAACTTGGGGCAACTAAGAGGAAGAAAAAGTCTGGATTGGCAAGACGGCAAGTTTTCCAGTGATGCTGGTTAGTTTCTCCATAACATTTCTGCACACACTTGATTGCGGTCAGTGGGGTTTTGCTCTTCATCTTTGTTCATATTAGCTTTTGTCTTCTCATTGCAAGTTCTATAAACCCCTTGAACATTGTGTTCCTTTTCAACCATAAAGTTCAATAGATTTTATTTGGAATGTTTTGTGATACATCAGTACAAAGTAGTGCATCATAAATTAGAAGGAAAAGGAAATATACTTTGAAAAGGTTTTGGAAATAAACAACTTCAAAGTGTAGTGAGCATTTTAATGATCAGTTTGCTCTGATAACTTTAAATACAATTTGGTGCATTCTGTGACCTGCACAGAATGTACCATTGTGCTGTAGTGGGGCTGATAGTCACCAATGTTTGACACAAAAAGGACAGAGACAGAGAAACTGGTCAAAGTTGATGGATGCAGCTTGACTAAAACATTGACCCACATTTTACTGTGGGAGGTGGAAATTGTCGCAGTTAAAAATGCTTTGATTATTTAAAGGAGAACTCTGGAGATTATTAAGCAAAATGGCTGATTACTATTGGTTACCACTGTGCTTGCACAATTTTACGGATGGAAATTCAAATCGGAAGACATTTACTGATTTAGACTTTTTCAAGCCCATTTACTTTCAGCTTTATGATGGGAGATGCACAATTAGGCTGATGCTGGCCTATATTGACACCATCGGGAGTTAGGAGGAAAAGCAGTGAATTTGTAATAGTACAGTGTGTATGAATTTGGAAAGAGACTGTCAATTTACAATGGTGACTTTCTTCAGGACAGTTACTTTTACCATCATGAGATAAAAAGTCAATGTTCTTTGATTCCCCTGAATGGTATAATAACTATTGGAAATAATCAAAAGTCGTTAAATGTTTGGAATTGCTGGTTGTTGAAGCTGCTCCAACCAATCAACATGCAGTAAGTGAATGTTTGTCAGTGCAGATGTAGCATAGTATGAGATTATGTAACCTTATTATTGGATAATTACTGTGATGTTTCAGGAGTACCTGCATGAAAGTTGATTGGTACAGAATATAAGGTGTCTCATTTTAAAGGTTTTTCTGGCATTAGCCTTTATTTGCAACAGATAAGATTGAAAATAGGTAGAAAGAGAAAGACGAGAAAAGACCTGCAACAAAGAACCCAAAGTCTATATATATATATATATATATATATATATATATATATATATATATATATATATATATATATATATATATATATATATATATATATATATATATATATATATTATATTTTTGTCTCTGTCCTTTATATATATATATATATATATATATATATATATATATATATATATATATATATATATATATATATATATATATATATATATATATATATATATATATATATATATATATATAGTCTGACCCAAGTGTCTTAGAGTTTTGACTCTCATGCTACAGAACGTTTTTTGGCATATCTGGAAAAACCCAGTAACCTGGATTAGGTTAAATTGTTTGTTGTGGTGTCAAAGGGATTGGAATCCTATGAACAACACGTGACCACAATGTGTAAGAATCAATTTATTTAAATTAAATACAACAAATAAATTGTAACTGTTTTAGTTCAACAATTAAATGTAATAAACACTAAGCATGAGTGGAATTTTTTTTTTTTTGCTGATCTATGAGAAAATAGAAGACTTAAAGCAAACACTATGCAGCAACACTATATAGCAAAAGGACATTTTCTGTCTTTTTCCTCTGCAGTTGAAGATAAGGGGAATTTAAAGGACAAGAAAGATTGAAAGCACAGGATCAAATCAATTTTGATACCTTGTGTGTGTCATGTATTTGAAAGCAAATTTTGTCTTGTCAAGGCATGCTTTACTTTACATCATGTGATATTTTAGAAGGTCGACATAATGTTCTTTAAGAATTTACAGATAAATGAATCAATAGAATATTTTTTTTCTGTGTGGGTGAATTATTTACCAGCTGTTTTGAAGACTTTTTTTGGTTACTCTTGAGAGATTTTATAAATCCTGTTGCTTTCTTTGCAGGAAAACGTGAAGAGTCTCTAAATAAGTACAACTCAGCCCTCACCGAGCTGCCAGCCACAAAGTGAGTCCACACACTCATCCACATACCCCTCTGACATCAAGGCCAATGGAATTGCCACATCCTGTTAAAGTTGTTTTGTTTCTTTTGATCCAATTTGTCTGTTGAAGTCTCCATTTTAGGGACAACAAACGCCCCCTGCTGCAACTGACGTTTTACTGAAATTTCCTGCCTTTTTAAAAAAGCTGTACAAAGACAAGAAAACCAAAAAGCTCAGCTCATAGATCTTTTTTCTTTATCTTGCTGTCAGGTCCCAGGATGGTTTCAACCTACTGCTACGTCGCCATGGAGGCTCAAAGAGAAACTCGCTGCTCCGCTGGTGTCAGAGCAGAACCCAAGGATACAAGGTGAGTCAAGAATCAGTTTAATGTTTTGTGGATTCCAAAACACTAAACACAGTTTTCACAGATTGGAAACACTGTTCGTAAATGTTAATCAATAAATGCTTTAAAGTAAGCTAGATTACTGTTAGCACACTGTCTCAGCTTTCCACATTTCAAACAATAACTAAAGAATGTCTTCCAGTTTTGGAATTGCTTCTAGTTGGGTGACAACCACAACTTGCTACATATTGCAGCCTCTATACAGAGTATTTGAAGGCCTTGAACCTCAATGACCATAATGATAGATGGGAATAAAAAGAACTAGGAACTATAAACTATAATGGTACTAAACTTAATGTATGCCACTATTATTAATCGGATTTAAATTAAGACTAATCTGATTTAAATTCAATATAATTGAATATTGATGACTAAAATGTAATTATAAAGGACTACATGAAGTTCTTTTTAGCTGTCATAAAAGTAGTTTTTCATGTATTTGTAATTGCATTGTTATGTGATTGAAATGAGGCTTAAACAGGAAGTAGGCAGGTGGTATTAAATTTATTTTAATGGGGACTGTAAAGGAAAACCATATAAAGCAGTTCAAATAGGTGAATCTGGAAGGGAGGTGACTTTAGTGGGATGTATTTAAGCTGGGGCACTGATTACTGGCCACAGAGCAGGTGCTTGATTATTAACACTTTGGAGCTGATGGAGGAAAGCCAGGATCTTGATTGAGCTGATGATAGTTTGGTGCAGAATAACTAAAACAATATGAAAATGCTACTAGGAAACATACTAGAGTTAACTAAAGAAGATGAACTCATCAAATTACCAACAGAAATGAAAGAGTAACCAAAAATGCAAAAACATAAGTAGTCACTAAAACACAAAATGTTACATAAGTGAAAACAAGCAAAAACTCAAAGGACCTCAAGCCTTAAATACCTTTCTGTATCACTAGAGCCTTAGATCTCAACAAATCAGTCCAAATATATTGTCATGCAAATAGTTCACATGGGCATACATGCTGAATTCAAGTCAAGATGCAAATAGCAGAACAATCCTATCCTGTATTAATTCGAAACTACGATTGTAAAATATGGAAAGATTCTTTATTGTCTTAGTTAAGTGACATCTCTAGGTTGAATTAACCTTTCCTCTTCATTCAGAATATTGACATCACAAATTTCAGCAGCAGCTGGGCAGATGGCCTTGCATTCTGTGCTGTCTATCACACTTACCTCCCTTCACACATCCCTTACAGCAGCCTCAGTCCTGAGAACAAGGTACAAAATGCACACATTGCTGTATTGTGGATTAAACCAAGCTATTGCTCATGTTCAACTTAACTTAACAACTTGCCCCTTTTTTAGCAAGAAAATCTCAGCCTGGCATTCAAAACAGGAGAGACTGTGGGGATTTCCCCATCACTGGTAGGGGACACTTCCTTGATTCCATGTTCAAAGTACATTTGGTTTGTGTTCAAGCTGGTAAATTTTTCCGAAATATTTCTCCAACAGACAGCAGATGAGATGCTGCGCTGCGAGCAGGTGGGCCTGACTGGCAGAGGGTGCTGGGTTATGTGGAGAGCATCTACCGTCACTTTGAGATGTGACCGCATGAGATACTGAGGTGATACAGGGGAATATTTTGAAGAACATACACATTTTTTATAACTTTACCACATTTTGGCAATAGTTGATAGTTAATAAGACAACTTGGTCCAGATATAATTATTCTGGAAAAGGTCAAAACAAGGGTGTAACCTGCGTTGCGTGCTTTACAGCTAGTGCCTCATGTAATAGAGTCAAGGAAGTGCACTATACAAAATATATGACCGATAGTTGAAGACAGAGGATCCAAAAATTACTTACACTTAGCGACTTCTTAGATATTTAGCTTTTAAATTGAGAACGATCAATAAAGGGCATATTTCAGGACTTTTAGGAATCTTCTTTGAAATTTTCTTTCCAAAAGATAAAAACAACAAACAACAACAAAAAATATATATATACATATATATATATATATAACAGAAGGCAGTCAAAAAACAAGTTGAAGAATGATAAAGTCAGAATTGTCAATCAAGAAGAGAGCAGTGATGAGGAAGTCTGCAGAAGAGTTTAGCCTCCCATCCATTCATCCATCCATCCATCCATTATCTGTTCACCCTTGTCCCTAATGGTGTCGGGAGTTGCTGGTGCCGATCTCCAGCAGCGTTCCGGGCAAGAGTACCGGGTACACCCTGGACAGGTCGCCAAAAAATTTACTTTTGAAATTTTTTCATTTATAAATTAAATAAAATAATTTAATTTATAAATTAAGTCCGCCTTTCCACAGTGCTGTGGAAAGGCGGACTGCGACTTTTTTATATTTATTAATAGGATTTATGGGTTTCTGGCACTGATACAAGTTGAAATATGCCCTTCAATGTTCAAAAGCATTGAATATATATTTTTTCAAGCATTCTTTTGTGGAGGATGCTAAGTTACTGTAAGTGTCTCCACACTGGTACTTTACTGGTAGTAAGTACTGTATACTAAAAGACAGCAGTTTTCCCTCTACCTATGGTTTTAATTGTCAATATATTTTTCCTTTTGCTTTTATATGTGCAAAGATGCAATATTTACTGGATGCTTTGGTACTCTGTGGATGTGCACTTTGGAGATGCCATTGCTCTACATTATAAATCTGGGTTCTTTTAGAGGCTTGAGGATTCTTCCCATTAAAAGGGAGTCATTCCTTTCCACTATTACCATATACTTGCTCAGGATGAGAGATTGCTGCAAAGTTAATGATAAAATGCAGCAAACCATCCACTATCACCTCATGGCTCAAGAGGAAGAGCTGATGTGAAGTCAATAATGTAATGCAAATTGCTGGCCTTACTTTGATAGATAACCTTTGACCAGTTTGTGTCACAAAAGGAAATTTGACTGAAATGACACACCACTCACTATGAATCAACATCTTAATTTTAACCCATCTTTTATGATGTGATTGAATTGATTATTGTCATGTAAAGTGCCTTCAGATTACATAGTCGAGTTTAGTACTGAATGACTGACGGAAGCAAGGGTCTTGTCAGGTCGAAAATGATGATTATTAACATATGCATCCTGAAAACCCCTTTAGTCTGCCAGTGTCGATTGGGTTCTCTGTTATCTGAATTACAAATAAAGTGACAAAGACAAATACTTACTTATACAAGCTTTAAATCCAGTTTCAACACCATCACACTTCTTTCTGCTTCCTCATAATTCATAACTGCTGTTGTTGTTACATGTTTAAGCAAGGTTTGTTGCCAAAGATTTATGTGCCAAATTTTGGAAGCTGTAAAATAATGTCAAAATGTAACTAGTGTGAACAGCTTATTCCAAAGCAATAAAGTGTTACAATATTACTGTGAGTATTGTGTAATTGTGTAACACCATTTAACAACAGCTACTGTGACAATAATGTAGAAAATTATCCATTTATGGTGGTTAGTTTCAAAATGAGACTTTCCCCCATTAGGAGCTAGGAGGAGCATGTGATTTGAAAGGTAAGGCTTTATCACCACCTACTGGTAAAAACCAGGTGATGCATGCGAACTTGAGGATTCCCTCTGAAACATTTAATCACTCCCGGGTGATTAAACCCAGCTGGAGTCTTAGTGTAAATTCTTATCCTATGTGCTTATATTTGTGACGACCAACACATTAATTTAATACAGATTCAAAATGCATAATTTATTATAATAAAAGCTGCAATAATTTACAAAAATACTCATATCCCCTGAATTTTAAATTGTTTAAATGTCAAAACTACAAACTTTTGAGTGCATTTCTATCCATCTCCTTAGTCTGCTACCTTTAAATAAATTATGCTCACTGATTTACTTTCAGTAGTCAGCTAAAGACCATTAGAGTTTACTTAACTTTAATTATGAATACAGCCATTCTATGAGAGCTTCAGAGGTTTGTTAGAGAAGATATGTGAACAAAAGGCAACATGAGGGCCAAGCAACACATCCGACAGGTCAGTGGTGAAGAGATTTAAAGTAGAATCATCTCCAGGTTTGGATTATAAAACAATGTCCCAAGCTTTTGACACCTCAAAGAACAAAGCTCAATTTGTCATTTAAAAATAGAAAGTAGAAAAGTAAAAAAGACTTTGACATCAACCTACTCTGAGCATCAATAACAGTCAAGAGGCCATGGGTAGATTTGGTAATGCTCAGATAGGAAATAATGTCTACAACAGAGGACTCCACATATTTGGGAGTTACGGATGATAGGAAAGAAGCCAGAAGGCCAGTTTGCAGCTTACTAAGAAGGGAACATACCAGTGATGTTGTCAGAGGAGACCTAAATCAAACTATTTTCCCTATCTACAAAATCAAAAAGCAAAGCTGCACCTTGTACTGAGCACACAGTTCTCACTATGAAACATGGTCCTGGCAGTATCACACTGTGAGGATGCAGACACCAAAAATATACTGCCAGAGCCCTATTGGGACAAATTAGGTCAACATATATTTTGGGAAAATGTTGGTGAAAGCATCATGCTGTGGAGATGATGTTCATCTGCAGGGACAGAGATGTGAGTTAAAATACAACTAAATTTGGGGCAGACTGGGGAGAAATGCACACTATTTAATATTGAAAATCATGTATATTTTCCTTTCTTCATATTTATGTAATTCTTTGTATCATGTAAAGTCTATAAAATACACTGGTGTTTGTGACTGCAATTTGACAAAATGTTTAAAGCCTGAAAAGTGTGTTTGCATCAAATATTCCACAGAAGCTTGCATGCTTCAAGATATTCAATATGTTTGACACAGATTATGCATACAATAAGGCTTAGACAACACTGAATGGTGAGAAACACAAAACCTGTCCTTCTGGCCGAAGGTACTGAGAACATGAGAACGTCCTCTTCCGCCCTTCAGCTTTGTCAAAGAATTTGTGTGTGACAACATTTGGGTAAAACTTGTAGTTGGTATTGGGACAGCAGTTGGACTGTTTCCTCTCAAATGGTCAGACGGATTTTCTCACGGCAAGTTTTGGATGTGGAACTAAAGTTTCACTTTTAAACGAGATCACAGATGAACAACATGAACAGAATATGGACCCTCGTTCTGTCTTTTGCTGCTTCTGGCTTGACACAAGATTCACCCAAGTAAGTAGTGTTGTTTATTCTGAATGAAATGACAGTTTTCATTCTCCCCGAAGACCAACTTAACCAGTTTGCTTGGCCAATGTCTCTTTCTTTGTTTTGTTAAAGTTCAACATTGTTTCTGATCTCGGGTCCAGAGGTGCTCAATGCTGGTTCACCCACTTCTATCGCGATAACTGTTTTTGCTGACTTCCATGGCAATTTAACAGCGGAGGTGGCACATGGCAACACTAAAGTCACACAAAAAGGACAATTTCAAGGAGGTGATTCGGTTTCACTAATTCAAGTTTGATTTCATTGCTAACATTTAGAATGGGTAGTGAATACTAAAATTTTATCTTTTTAAAGGTACTACAAGTATTCTCAGTCTTCCACCTGTGAGGTTTATTTTTATTTTAATCCCAAGTAAAGTTTTACTAAAATTGTCTGAACGTTTATATCCAGGTTTGATGTTATTTTCTGAACATCTTCCCAGTTTCCTGGCTCTTTATCACAAAACTCACTTCTAAGCTTAACTGTGAGAGGCTACAGTGAGAATCGCCTCCTTTTCACAAACACCACATCCCTCACCTACAACCTCTGGACGGTTTCATTATTCATACAAACGGACAGATCGAGCTACAAACCTGGTGACACCGTCAACGTCAGAGTTGTCACTTTCCAACTGGATAACAAACAATACAAAGGGAGAGTGGACATTTCACTGCTGGTAAGGCAGGCTTTCTAGAGAAAACCCCTGGTTTAGTTAAAAGCTTGGCTAACGTGCCTTTAACACACAGGATCCCAGTGGGAAACTTGTTGAAGGCTGGAACTCCACACAAAATCTAGGGATTGTCTTGAAAGAATTCATTTTATCCCTGATGTCCCCCCCTGGACAATGGATGATCACAGCAACAGTGAACGTAAGATTGAAAGACTCCCTTTTGAGCTTTAATATGTGTTCAAGAATTTGTGTTAATTATTATTTTTTTTCTTTTTGACAGGGAGTAACTGATAAGAAATCCTTCATTGTGAAACATCCTGGTAATGATTCTACTGATAGGATTTATATAATGACCAGTTAACATGTAGTGCTATCTGAATTGATTGATATTGGTTAATGTCAATGTCAAACTGAATTATTTTTTAAATTTTATTAGACTTTTAGCATTTTTAAAACTGACAATACTTTACCTGTAAATTAATATTTACAGGTAAAAAAATAGAAAATCCCAAAATGTTCAACTTATGTATGTATTTTTTTTAAGTACTTGGGTCACAATCAGGGGGTAAGAACATAGCCCAACGTACCCTTCCACTCAAAGCAAGCAGCCAAACACACAGAGGACTGAAGTAATTAATAAAAAATAAATAAATTAACAACAAAAGGTCAAAACAGGAATCACAGATGAAACTGCATCCCAAATATTATACAGATTATGTCAATATCACAACTTCCAGAACTTTCAATGTTGTAATTGGAAATATAACAAAGTTTATTTTTAGTATAAACGTCCAGTAACGTCCAGTTACCGGACGTAACTGAACGTTACTTGATTCGCAACAAATCCAGGTGAGCAGAACCTCAGCAAACGCAACAGAATATTTATTTTTCTCATAATTTTATGTTTGACAGATGAAGGAGCTTCTCCTGTTGATGTGATGGTCAAAACATCTTCTCGAGTCCTTCTGGGAGATGACATCTCAGGATCGGTGAGAGTGCTGTAAGTTTAACTGTGTTCCAATCGTGTCAATGTTTGTCCTTTAAGCTTTGATTCCAGTGCAATCTGAAACAAAGCTTAAAGTTTGCAGTGTCTTTGCTGTTCCTTTCACTGCATTCTGTCAGTAATCACAGCCTTAGATATTTATTGCCTTTTTGGGGGTTAGATCCTCCCCATTTTGGCTTAATTTTACAAGGTTTAAATTCAACAAAGTGTCAGAAATATTTCTTAAACCCTTTGTCGAGTGCAACCTTTCATGGTTGCACTCGACAAGAATTTTTGATTAAGGAATCTTCATCTACATTTTTGATGAAGTAGATACTGTTGACTGTTTTCTGTGACTTTGTATTTTTGTGTTTTTATTATGTAAAGTGTCTTGAAATTCCTTGTTGCTGAAATGTGCTATACAAATACATTTTGTTTTGATTTGATTTGATGCCTGTTGCTCTTTCAATGTTGAAAAATGTAGTTGTGAGATAGTTATGTTTAAATTTCAGCAGATTACCAGGTTTTGAAATACTCAGACCAGACAGTGTGGTACCAACCATGCCATGTTCAAGTTCTCTTAAACCCTTTTTCGTTCCACATTGTTACTCAGTTTGAAATTCATCATCAAGCTCACCACCTCTAGACATCTAAATGCACTGATTTGCTACAATATTTATGGCGAATTTACTGCTTGCAACGACCAACAATTGTTTGGCTGTTCCCAATAAACTAGCTTTTGAGTCTGTTTCACACTATTTTCTCTACAAATAATTTTACTTCCAGTTATCCCCATGGACAACCTGCACATGGAACTTTAGATGTGACCTTAAAGCCTTTGATAAACAACAGAACCTCTCCATCTCTGCAAACCGAAACCAAACAAGTGAGATTTAATGACTGACTCTTATCTATTTTAAATAAAAAGTAAACTAAAGCAAGAATAGACAAGAATAGACCTACCTCTTTCAGATCTATGGGTCAGCCCAGTTTTTCTTCAGCAGAGACCAACTTCAGGCTCTGTACTCCTCCTTATCACCTAACAACAGTCATGTTCTACACATTGCTGTCCAGTTTAAAAGTGACTCCACAGGTATGTTTCATTTTAAACAACGTCTTCAATACCTCAACGCTTTACCACAACATTTTGTTTTTGTTGCTGTGGTTCCAGGATTTAATGTGAATAAAATCCTTGAAGTTCATGTGTTGAGAAACAAATTCCAGCTCATGTTCCTTAACTTCCCATCGACTCTGAAGCCATCCTTAAACTTCTCAACAAATGTAAGTGGAGTCATTTCAAAATTGCAAGTTTATTAATGTATTAAACACCTACAAAAATATATACCAATCTGCTCTTGCTTTTCACAGCTGAGGATTGTTAGATATGACAGAAAGTCTCTCAGCCCACTGGATTTGAAGCACTCTGTTGTGGTTCAAGTCACTCAGAGATCTTTGATGAGCTCAACGACTATGAGTCTAACCCTTCCTGTGCCTGAGAATGGCAACGTCCTCATAAGGTTTAAATTACAAGATCAAGTAGAGATGCTATTCATACAGGTGAGTATTATGAGTCATAGCTCACAGAAGTAGCTCTTCCAGGAAAAGTACTATTCTGAGTTTTGATGCTTCTAACATAAGTGACTTCAGTACAGTACACAATTCCTGGAATCAAAGAGGTGTACCTCACAGAACAAACAATTTCAAACTCTTTATGTTATTTTTATCTTCAGGCGAGATTCCAGATCACTGAAGAGACCCTGAAGGTGTTCACTAACTACTCCTCCCCTACTGGCTCATATATTCAGATCGCTCCAATCAACACATCGCCTGCACAGGTAAATTTTAAACCCATTCTGCTCTGTTTTGCATTTAACTGCATGTGGAAAGAATATGAGATTATCTGGTTCATCTCATTAACTCTCAGATTGGACTTCCACTTCAACTTAATGTGGAGAGCACCATCAAACCAGAGAGGCTTCATTTTGTGGTATGTTAGTTAAAATGTGTCAGTTATTGCATGGACTAGTAAATAAACCACTTTTTTTCACTTTTGTGTCTGATTAATGCTCTTTTCAATGAACTGTTATGTCTCTGTTTCTTGGTTTTTATGATGCCGTTCATTAATGTTTTCAAATTAACATTAATATAACATTTTAACAAAATTATTGTCTTACTCTGTTGATGATATGATTTTTGAAGTTAATTCGTTGCACTGGATTCTGTTTAGGGGTATCATAATAAGGGGGCAAGATATAAATGCCCTCTACACTTATTTATTTAGTAAAAATGATTAAAAAAAACATGTACTTTTAATTTTCCGATTTATTTTCTCACGTCTCTGATATTTTGTGTTGGACAACTATCCTAATAAAATACATTGAAGTTTACGGGTCAGAGAGTGACACAATGTGAACATTTTCAATGGGTATGGATACCTTAATTGGGAGTGGACACAAGATACACTAGAAATATGATGCCTCTTTTGTGTTACTGTAATTATAGATAAGCTCTAAAGGTCAGGTGGTGGCCGCTGGGACAAAGAACTTCTCATCTTCAGTCACTCTCACACCAGAGCTGTCCTGGTACCCTGAGGCCTGCGTCAATGTCTACTACATCCATTCTGATGGGGAACTTACCAGTGACACTGCCTACATTTCTATCCATCAGTACAACCATGTGTGAAAACATGTTGCTTTATAATTTTTTCATCAATAAAACCAGCTTAAATACTGTTTCTTATAACAGAAACATGTAATGCTCCTTCTGAATGTGCCAGTAGAATGTTTCCCTGCTCTTTTCAGGTAACTCTAAACTGGAGCAGTGAGAGGGCCCAGCCCGGTGAGCAGGTGTCGCTCACTGTGGCTGGCAGTGAATCCAGGTTTCAAGTTGGAATCACGATCGCAGCGATGCAAAATGATGCCCTGCAGTCTGACCTGGACTACAGAGTTGAACAGGTAGTAGAACACTTTGAATTAGAAAAAAAAAAGGTCTAAGTTAAACTTTTGTTTGCAGTCAATAAAACATGAAAAGCTTTCATGCTGGGATTAATCCTTAAAGTGACGTTTGGGCCATGTTGAAAGATGCAAAAAAAATAAACATTAAAATAATAAAAATAAAAATCTGAAATTTGACCTTCTTTTAAAATTTCTGAGCAAGTTGCTTTTTTGGACAGAGCTGTCTTTGCTTTATGCATCCTTTGTTGTGATTACAAAAGAGATATCTCCAGTTTCCTAAGCACTGCTGTTTCTTTAAGACATTGTGGGGAGATCATGCTGTAATATAACTGTCTGCTTTGCTTGTAGATGACTTGTTGTTCTAGCATTGGGGAACTACACTATTTTGGGAACAGAGCCTAAGGGTGATTGATGACAGTATATGAAGGAAACAAAGATATCTGGTGGCCTGTATTGTGTGAAGAATCAATTATTTAAAACATTTGAGATGGTTTAGGTGACAATGGTCCCGAGACTGTTATCAAAATAACATCCATGCCTCCAATTCAGTGAGTCTGTAATTAGTCCAACGCTCTCAAAGGGAATGTCTGCTTTTAGGTCAAGCTGCTCAGAGCAGAGGCAGTTAAAAAAAAACACATTCCTGCCATTTAAAACAATTCAAGCTCAAAATGCACCTTGTTTGTCGAGTGAATGCTTTTTTATATCCCACCACACATAAAACTGTTTGCATGTAGACCATACGAAACTAAAGGAACTGAATTTTTTATCTTTACAGACCTTAAATCATAAATGAATTTCTGGCAGATTCCTGCAAGCATCTACAGGGCAATGTAATACCCTGTAGTGTTCTGTGCTGAGTATCTGTATGTGTGAGAATAAATGTATGTCTGTTGTATATTCAGTTTTCAATAGAACAATCTTTATTTAATTTAGAATCGGGTTGACAATGAAAACAATATAGTACTATTTTTCTTGTAAATAGTTGTAAATAAATTCAATAAGTAAGTGTAGTCATGAGATGTGTTGTTTCATGCAGAAATATAATCTTAAGATGATGACCAACGCAAGATTTTATGTGAAAAACCAAGACGATGGACCTGGAAATGGTAAAAGTTGATATATAATGATGAAATCATCTTAAAATCATTTACAACATACACATTCCACATTTGGCATTCTTCCTCATACACTGTATATGATGTGATTTCTTTTTTCTGTGACAACTACATGAAGAGGAAGATAAATCTAATAGGTCAATTTTGGAGCAATACTGGAACAACTGGATGGGGACTGCTGAATTTCTGCTATTGTTGGATATAAGCGTTAGGTAAGAGATTAAAGCTAGTCATCTGAACAGAGTGTGGTGCTAAAGCGATGGTCCAAAACATCTTTTTTGTCTCGTCATGTCTTTCAGTGATAAGAACTGGACCAGTGGGAAAATAACAGTACCTAATGGTGTTACCTGCTTAGGAGCTGTAGCAGTGTCAGTGTCTGAGAAAATGGGTTTAGGTCTCACTCCTCTACCACAAAAGGTAATGAAATTATAATGTTTGCCTCAAGTAGTGCTTCAATATAAACCAGTTCTGTTGCCCAACTTATTATTGTGTCTTCTGTCTTTGCACTAATAGCTGACCATATCCAAAGACTTCTCCTTGTCTCTTGTTGTCCCTTCATACCTCATCAAAGGGGAAGAGGTTGTCCTGGAAGTCAATGTCATCAATCATTTAGAGCAAGAAACTGAGGTTAATTGAATACCTTTGGACAGGACATTTACTTTCTTTTTTTTTTAAAACATAAATTCAAGTAACTTGGAGTCAGTTCAATAGCTCCTTCAGTTTGTGCTTTATGTATTTTGTCTTTGGTCTAACTCAGTATCTTTCTCTTGTAGGTGATTGTGTTGGTAGCCCAGAGTGATGCCTTTGAGTTTGTCTTAATGGACCGAAGGGATGCATCTATTATAAATGCTCATAAAATTACCTTAGGGAGTCATGAGTCTGCTTCAGCCTTATTCCCTATCAGGCCTTTGGCTCTTGGTGAGATGGAAATATCTGTGGATGCTGTGTCTGCAGAAACATCAGATGGACTTATTGAAAAAATCTGGGTGAAGGTAAGACGTATGAGGAGATTGGACTAGACATACTAAGTTTGCAAAAAAAAAAAAAAAGATTTGTCTTTTATTTACTTTAAGCAAAATAACAAATTCAATGTGTCATTCCATCAATCTAATAATACAAATAAATACCTATATATTTATTTAGCCTGAAGGAGTTGAACAGATCTTCTCTCACACCTTGTTCTTGGAAGTGTTACCAAAGAAACAAGAGTCTTCCAGATCTGTGACCTTTTCTTTTCCTCCAAATCTGGTACCAGGAAGCCAGAGGGCCCATGTAGCACTTGTTGGTACGTTCTTCACTTACTTTGTGTCAGTTTGCAATTAGGAATGTTTACACTTATAATCAGAGATACATTAATGTTCTCTGGCTCATCTTATTATGTTCCAACATTCTCATTCTTCAGTTATTATTGGCTCACTTAACACAGACAGATAGAAGTCCTATTTTTTTCCATGCTTATATTAGGGTTATTTGGCTTTTTCACAAATATTACTGTCCTATACATTGAAAACATTATATGTACTGGGCATTTACTCTTGTATCCTGATATCAAACACAATACAAAACTGCTAAATTGTCCCATCTTTAACTTCATCTAACAGGTGACATCTTGGCTTTGTCAATTGAAAATTTGGATTCACTGGTTCAGCTGCCTACTGGGTGTGGAGAGCAGAACATGGTTCACTTTGCTCCGAGTGTCTTTGTGCTCCAGTACCTGGAAAAATCAAACCAGGATGACGAAGGGATCAGAAACAAAGCGCTTCGCTACATGATGGAAGGTAAGTTGGAGTGCAACACTAATTTCAGTCATAAACTACAAATAAAATTGAAGAAATTCACAAAGCTATTTGCAGTTAATAGCTAGATCTGCCCTGTGTGTCTCTGTTATCCTATGATGTATAGATAACTTGGGTGTCCAAAGTGTGACCAAGGGCAACTTAAAGCCTTCTCAATACTATTTTTCTTTATTTAATATTTTTTTATTTAATTAAAATTTTGTAATACAAATGTTTGTAATAATACAAGAAATATTTTGCGTGATGCACATCCTGTTCTTGTTGTTGACCACAGCAAACAAAAATTTTCTTTCATAATTTACTTATCCATTTTGACAAAATGTGGGTTTGTTCATTTTGTTAAAATGTTGCTGTTGTTTTAGATAAATGGTTAATTTAAGTAACTGATTAATTTAGAAAAAAATTATAAAATTATTTTAACCTCTATTAAAAAGAAAATACTCTATTTGGCTCATAAGGAGTTTCCATTGGATGACAGCAAAAACTTTGGACATATTTGTAGTAGAACGTAAAACAGTCTTTCATCAAAGTTCATTTCTTAAATGTCTTGGGATTTCTCAAAAATGTTCTGCCACTTATATGTTTAATTACAAACATTTTATTCTTTTTTACTATAGGTTATGAGAAACAACTTTCTTACCAAAGAGATGATGGCTCCTTCAGCGCTTTTGGACAAAATGACACCTCTGGTAGCACCTGGTAGGTCATAATTTGGTTGCATTTTGATAAAATAGATTTTTTTTCTTTTTCACCATTTCTTCTTATTTCTTTATCTTTGCTCTATTTTTATGAACCAGGCTGACAGCACTTGTGCTGCGATACTTCCTCCAGGCTCAGCCATACATGCAGATAGACCAGACAGTCTTAACCAAAGCCACAGGCTGGCTCTTGAAACACCAAGATTCCCAAGGGGAGTTTACTGAGGTCGGCGAGCTTATCCACACAGAAATGCGGGGAGGTCAGGATGATAGCCCCATTGCTCTCACTGCTTATGTACTTCTGGCATTTCTGGAAGATGATACTTACTCCGTAAGTCAAAAAGATCTCTCCATTTCATGTAATATGGTGTTTCATCTAACATGAAACATCACAAAACTGAAAATAAAGTTATATATTTTTCAGCAATAATATAACTTGCTTGCATTTACTTTGTGCGTAGGAGATGTATGCGGACAATGTGTCTTTGAGCCTGAGATACCTAGAGAGCAAAGTGTCCAGTGGTATTGTCAGCAACTACACCATGTGTCTGGTGGCTTATGCTTTAGCTCTGGGCAAAAGTAACGTACTGGGGAGAGTGATCACAGATCTCACTCGAAGAGCTGATTACAGAGGTGAGACAGAATGCATTTTATGACATAAAAAATGCAAAAAATCCCTGAAAAACTGTGACTAATGAAATGTTGATCAAATCAGTCCATACTTATTTGAAATTGTATCAGAATAACCCTTCATTTCTTTAAATAAACACATTCTGGTACATGGACATGCTTTAACAAAGCAGCTGAAGTAGCCTGTGCATATTTTCTCATGGTTTGTCTTTTCTCTCCTCCCAAGATGGTGTCATGATGTGGACAGTCTCTGGAGGCCCGAGATCTAACAACCAGCAGCAACATTCAACACAGATTGAAATGGCCTCCTATGTGCTGCTGGTTCAATTTCTACGTGGCAGTTTCCTCGAAAGTATTCCACTCTTTAAGTGGTTGAGTATGCAGAGAAGCTATCTAGGTGGCTTTGGAACAACTCAGGTGAGACCAGGCTTGAGAAGGTTCATGAATTACCTCCTTTGTCTGGTGCAAAGTTTGACAGTATAAATAGTGAGATAATCGTAGGATGTTTTGCTTCTATTTTTTGCAGGACACTGTAGTTGCTCTCCAGGTTCTGTCTTATTACGCTGCATTTAGTGGTGCAAATGCCATCAATGTTAGGGTTAATATGTCTTCCCCCGTGTCTTCAACTGCATTGCTGTTTCACATCAATTCAACCAACTATCGAGTTTATCAAAGCAAAGAGGTAACAAATAACACATTTCAGGAAATCAATCATTTATGTTTATGTGCACAATTATTATTTCAAATGTGGAATACTTAGAAAAGTATGCAAGATTCTGTTGATCTTCCCGAGATATTGATTATTTTGGCAACCTTATTTTCCTTAGTGACAAGCGATATGTTTGGAGTAGTCAAAGGGAAGAATTTCAAACTTTAGAATATTGTACTGTCAAGCATGGTGGTGGCAGCCGCATGGCTTTTTTCTGACAAGAAGAGTGGCCAAACATTTAGGCACATGCCAAAAGTTTGCTTACAGCTACAAAAAAGGTGTGTAGCTTTACACTATTTGTGTATGCCAGCATAATTTTAATCTTGTGTGTATTTGAAAAGAAGAAACTAGAATCAAACTAGCTCTCAACATTTCTGTTTAAAAATTATTGAAGAAGCATATCATCATCAAATTATTAAAATAGCATCTATGCCGATAAAGATTGTATGCAATCCTCTGATTGTTATATTCCTCTAAAAAGCTGACCTTTTATTTATTCTTGATTCAATTTTGTGTTTTCAGATTAATGCTGATGAAGATTTACCTTTAAATATTTCCGTTGAAGGAATAGGATTTGCCGTGTTTCAGGTAAAGTTTATTATTTTGAAAGAAGCATTTGTTGCAGTAATACTTTTCTGATCTCTTGTTTGAACCCTTGCAGAGAAGTGATGTTTTTCTTCTTCCTTTATGTCTTGTTCTACAAATTGCTGACAGATTGTTTAACCACAAGAACATGATCAGAATAAATCAGTAATAATTTAAATAAATGCTGTGCATTTATCATGCGCAGCAACAGCTGTGCATGATAAATGCCGCAGCACGTCTCAGATTAGAAGAGTGGATTCAAAACAACAAATGTAAATGTAGAGATGATAACCGTCGCTCATCAGTTAACATCTGGACTGCAGGTTTTAGCTGTCAGCTTGTGCTGAATCTAGATAAGAGGGAGCACTTAAAGCTTTCATCTTTACTTTTCTTCGTCTGAATTCTTTGCTTCCATTTTTAAATAATTCTATGAATCCATCCAGGTGAACATCTTTTACAACACAAAGAACAAACAGGACATTGAGCCCACCACAGACAAGGATGCATTCATATTAAACGTTAATCTTACTTACAATGACTCCAGTCACATAATGTTGGCTATATGCACAAGGTAATCTCTATAATGCCGAATGCTTTTAGAATTTTTATTTATTTTTTGTAAAACTTTTACATTTCATTTTATTTTCTGTAGATTAAAGGATAATCAAGAAATAGCTCAGACAGGAATGGCTATACTGGAAGTGGGGATGCTCAGTGGTTTCAGTCTTTTCTCTGGAGTTGCAGTTCAGGCGGATTTTATTAGGAGAGTGGACATAGGGCCTGAAAGAGTCAGCTTGTACCTGAATTCGGTAAGTTCTGAAGTTATTTTCTTCATCTGCTTGGATGTTTACATAATATTTATTGTTCATTAAATGAGAATGCATTTGAGTTCTGTAAAATAAATCAGCAGAGGGCACCCGTTTGTAGCTGCAGGGCAGGTATCATGAAGAGTATGTCAATACGCCCTCAACTGCAACATTTGTAGATTAAAATATATATATATACCCCTGATTAAAAAAAAAGCAACTCTCATCATCAGGTCTGCCATGATGCCTTTGAAGTTTCTTTATTACACACCTGTGAAGCATAACATTATGACCACTAGTCTGGAGAAATCATCAGTTCTATGCGCTTCACCTACAAGTGGTCACGATGTTATGCCTCATCTTCATAATCACTTGAAAAACTGATCTTGTTATGTCATTTTCAGGTCACCAAGGCAGAAGTTTGTGTCACACTTCCTCTCGTAAGAACTTTTAAAGTAGCCAATGTAAAGGATGCTGTGTTGCAGGTTTATGACTACTATGAACCGAGTGAGTTTAACTGGAAATAAATGTCATGTTACAAATACAGTTTCCCATTTTAGTTACAAATACAGTTTCCCATTTTAGTGTTGATTCAAATATCCAGTATCATGTCATTTTTTTGTATGTTTTTAGCAAGGAAAACAACAAGAACGTACAACACGGATAGTCTTCACACCACAAACATCTGCTCTTTTTGTGGAAAAAACTGTGACAACTGTAGACCTGGAATCACCATTGCTGTGACTTCCCATCTGGTTTCTCACTCAAGAAGCACTACGTCCTGCAGCTTGGCTCTCCTGTGTGCTAGACTCATTGTTTTCCTTGTTTCAGTCTAAAAAGATGAATAATGACATGCATATCTGCATGTCCATCTCATGAAAATACTTGACAATTGATTGCAAGATTTTGGGAACTGTTTGCTTGCAGCGGTTTTTCCGAGTGCACTTGCGCCCTCCGGTGTTCACAATCTCTGTTGCATTGTTTTGAAAGAAGAATATCTGACTAAATTCATATAAAACTGACTCCTCTTTCACCTTATTACATTATCAAGCATAAATATTTCTATTTTATTTTCCATTCATTGTTTTAGTCTGTTTTTCTATATGAGTTTCCATGTACTGACTGTCATAGAGTGTATAATAAAGAACATATGTGTGGATGGCAAAAGTGCACACGAAAGATTATTTTTTTCCACGTTCCATGCGTGTTCTGCTGTCAGTTTTCTGGCAGAACATCCATACATATCAAACTGTCTTAGGAGATATAAAGACTGAAAAATTATTATTGAAAAAAAAATCTGCTTTTCATTAAATGACTGAGCTGAGATTAATGTTTTTATTAGGATAAAAATACAGGCTTTTATGTGTGAAGCAGACACAACTGTATGACTCTGTGAATGCAGCATAAAGGAAAAAAGGCCTTTCGAAATTATCTGAAATTAGATGATGCCTACTTTACCCCTCTGGCTTGATACATTTTTTTGTGAGCTGAAAGAATGCATGACCTACTGAAATATGCAGAGGGTATACACACATGGAAGTAATCTGCAGGTTGGCAGCAGGTTTGATATCACTTATAAAATGGGAAAGCTTTAGCCAATCAGAGGTGAAATTACTTAAAATTTATTTCTAAAAAGTTTTTGTTCCTCTGATGTCATGCCTTTTTATGTTTGGGGTAATTTATAGGTTTATGTAAGGATTACTTTTCTGCTTAGAAGACTAATATATTTTCTTACTTAACACTTAAGAGAAAAAAAAAGGCTATAACATATTCATCAATATATGAAATTAAGCCTGGTAAGAACCACTTTCCAAAGATACACTGATGTTACTCTAACTATTTAAGTATCTACAAAAATTGCTTGATATTTTTTGGTTAAAAAACTTGTTGCTACAAATTTTACTGCAAAACAGAAGCTTAACAGGAATTTAAAGCAGAATGTAGGCGTTGCTTGGCAGCTTCCCACAGGCTATACTTTTATGTTCATACAAAACACCTTAGTGCTGCAGTTCAGCATTTACGAACACTAGATGGCAAACTTAACATCAGAGTAGGAATAGATTCAAAGTTTAGATGGAAAACTTTAGATGGCAACAACTGATGGAATTACTTGAAAATGCACAGCACACTTTGTACATAGTCTGTGTTTAAAAAAAACACAACATATATAAAACATATTAAAACATAATGCTTTCTTCACATCACTATTTTCATTCACAGATGTGTAAAAGTATGAAAACATTCAGCGATAAAGTTGTGGCATAAAGTTGTTCAAGTCATTATATGAAGAAAGACACGATATTGCTCTGGAAATATTCAAAGACGTGGCCTTTTAGCTGACCAGCAGACAGAAGTGGCATGGAAAAGGTCTTTGTGATGTTGCTGCTACATGGTAGCGGCAACATCACAGTGAAGTAAGAGAAGACATGAACTGAGTTGAATATAGGATTATTTTTTTAGAAGAAATTGTAAGAGATAGATTCAAAAGAGTGAGAGGGAATGTAATATATTTTCCAGGCACATGGGGCCATTTTATACCATAATCAATTTACTATGTTACAGATATATATCAAAAACTACTTAAAAGAAATTTGCGGTTGCATCGCAACAGCATCTGTCACCTTCAAATTGGCCTCTGTTTATTTTAAAAACCCCCTAAATGATAAATGGACTGAACTTATATTGCATCTTTCCTCTTTCAAAGATGCTACAAACTTTGACAAATATTATTTGCCAAGAAAACATCTTAAATTGCTAAATTTTCCATCTCCAGATTTGCACAGCTGGTAGATGTATAGTACATATCTACAACAAAAGACTATAAAAAATGTTAAAGTTCATCTCACATGCTGCAATAACATTATTGGTGTAAAAACATTTGTGTTCTTCTATTTTCACCTTTTTGAGGTTTTACTGCATGTTGGGACTTGTTTATTAGTAAAGGTTTAAATCATTGTTCAAGTGGTTCTGTTTATAGAATCTGTTAAAGTTAAAACCAGATCAAATTTGACCTGAGGTGAGTTTAAGACTAACCTCAGGCTGCCTTGAGAGAAACCTCGTGAGCATAATGTCCAAACAAGAACTCATGTGCATACTTGTGAGCGTATCACTGACTTCTCCTCTGAATTTGTCTTCATGCGGGGTCACCGCACATACACACAAAGGTCACCATAAATGATCTGAGCAATGCTGTGGGTCAAGCTAGGAAAATAAACAATCAATGGCATTCATAGGTAGTGATGTCATGGACTTGCTGTTTAAGAAAGCAGATTTGAGAACAGTCTACTATAACTCAAACTGACATGAATATATTCAAGGTTTATGAGGACTGAAATTGTTCACCCCTCGATAATTTACCTGCCATTTCTGGACATCTCTTTGAACTATTCCACCTTATATCATGTTACAGCCACTGGTTTCAATGCGTTTTATTGAGATTTCATATGAAATACCAACACAAAGTCAACCACACTTGTGAAGATTAAGAAAAATAAGACCATAACAGCAAGAGGCACCTTTGTTTTTCTTTTTACTCCCAAACCCCTGTGCAATCAATTATCTGTGCAAAATCCTTTGCAATCAATTACCTCCAGATGTCACCTAAACAGTGTCCCTCACTGTGTAATTTAATCTATGAATGTGGATGTTTTGTGAAGGTCTCAGATGTTTTATAAGGACATATTACTTAGCAACCAGCATAAATAAATATGCCGCACTGACAAATAATTAGTAAATTTGCTACAAAAAAAGTTTCCTTCCTTTCCTAATTAAAAAAAAAAAGAAAATAAGAAGGTCAGGAATATTTTTGCAAATCATTATCTCATAAGTGTTCAGATTGCATTATTATGTGTTTTTATTTTCTTAAGGGTATTTTGTTTGATCGAAAAGTAACTGGCAAGAAAGCTGCTTCGTTTCAGTAATCTGTTTCCCTAAATCAGTTCAGGTAGAGCTTGTTAATATACTCGCTTAGGTGGAAAAAAGGATGAAAGGATACATTTAAAACAAAAACAGATATTACAAAATGGCTCCTGGGGGGCTGCTGCATATTACATCAGAAGGAAAGAACCACTGAGCACATCCAGTGGAAACCTTCTTCTCTTGGAATCATTGAGCATCAACAATGACGAAGATCAATCGACAGAAAACTTTTTAACTCTCCTGGTATGCTACCTAAACAACTCCCTGTGTCGATTTGGACCAGCGTTATAAATTTATTTTGGCAAGGCATGTTTCATTCACTGGGGTGAGTCATGGAAAAATCTGTTTAAGCTAGCATCCCACCAAGAGAGAGCGAATATTTACACAACCTCCATGTGACCTCAGGTCTGCTTGGCCAGACAGAAAAACTCCGCTTGTCAGAGGGGACCCCAGAGCAACTTCGTAGACAATCACTAAGATGGGTTCTCTGTGAGGAGATGAGATATGGCTTATCAACCCAAAATATTTTAATTTGGATGACTGGTGTCTGTGTGGATGCACAGGTGAATGCTGTCTTCTGTGAGTCACTGTCTGTTGGAATGTCAGCCACTATTTATCAACACTTAACTCTGTCTGCAAAGACAGTTCTGAATCACCCCTAATTAAAAAGATATTGCAATTTTATTTGAAATTGGGTGGTGATGTATTTTTAGTCAGTATATCAATTATTCTTGACTGGAGTCAGAGCGATTTGAGTTAAAGACTCAGGGAGAAGGTTTTGTTGGGGAGTCCAAACTCTGACTACACAGAGAATATATGCATATTCTAACAATCAATACAACAAACAATTAAACAATTTAGACCGCAACACTTACAAAAACTTTTGAGTAAAAGATTAAATGGAACATTTTGCAGTATTTAATAGTTTCTCTCACACAACATTTCCATCGTAAACCCATCAAGATGAGCCGCCTCTGCACTGCATTCAGCCATTCATAAATCATAAGAAGATATCCCCCACAGCTGTGAACTTTCAGAATGGACACCATCAGTGTAGGACAAAAAACTGAGTGGTGCAGCATCAACATTACCACCATGCATAAAATCTGTGTGGGAAGTTTCGATACACATACTTTCAAAACATTATTTGGCAGGCTTAGTTTTTGGATGAGCAAATGTTTCCAATTTAAATCATGTCTCTCACTTTTGGATTCTTTTAATTGGAAAATGATTGCTGACTCCCATCTACTTTTTTAAGCCCTACAACTGCTTGGTCAACATAAACAGTCCTTTTTGACTTGACTTTCTGCAACTGGGGCCAGCTTTTGCATCACTTGCCAAGTCAGGGGTTGTAGTAATTCTCCAAACTGAGTTTCCTCTGATTACCGCCTACTAAGCTTTGATGGTCCCCACAACTCCGCCAGGAGAAACCTTAGCTACTCCCAAAGGAAAGCCATCACTGCAGTTTGAACATTTCAATCAGCAGTGCTCAAAAAAGTTGAGAATCATTGTTAAAACCATTTGTCTGAATAGTAAACTTTTTGTTTTCAAAATATAGAAAAAAAAGATGATTCAGTATTTCCTGAGTGAAATGCTGCTCTGTTCTGACATTTTTGGCCAGAATGACCTAAAACACCTCGGCCTGCCTGTCAATACTGGCTCTAATTGAAACATCTAAAGTCAGACTTGAAAGATTGCCATTTTGTGCAGACATCAGTGTTTCCCAGATAATAAATTCTCATGAACCACTGTTAAGTTGACTTGTTCTGCAAAATTTCCCCAAGTCCGCTGCATGGTTTTGCAAATTAATTTGGGACGGATAGCTTTAGTTCTCTGGTCATAAATTCTAATATTTCCAGATGTTTTTGTAATCCAACCATGAGGTTAAAAATGTAAATATTTTAGACTGTAGAACAGCATCAGAATGTTCATTCACGGTTTATGGTATTTTTTTTTTTTTTGTGAAAATGTAATGAAGTTCAAGTTTTCATTCACTGGTGTAGTTCTGCTCCTTAAATGTCTGTATAAAAAAATATATCTTTATTTACTTTCATCATTGCACTGATTTGACATGTGAACATGCTAAAGTATTCAGACCTCCAACATTTTCACATTTGTTTGTGTGCCAACTTAAACCTTAATGTAATTGATTGGGATTTTCAAACAAAGAACAAACACAATATTTAACATAATAATTCAACATATTATGTTCAGTTTGTTCACACTTAAGT